TCAATTATGAACAGGAAAACAAAAGCCACAAACATTAATTTCGCTAATTATTAGTTCAAAATAAAATAATGAAATGAATTATTAAAATGCATTTCTGCGCATATACTACATAATAAATTTTTCTAAGTTACTACTATTAACGTAGAAGTCTATCTCTCATAAAATTTGGTATGAAATTTATAGATCTAAACGTATTTAGCTCTGTAGCTTAATTGTAAGTGCTATAAATTTGTGAAAGATATCTAAATATTTATTATTACAATTATTAATATGTAACTAAATAGAAAACAAGTATTATATAAGAAAAACGTGTAAGTCAGTCTTATGAGTACCCACGTAGCCGAAAATATGCATTTGTAGACAAATATTGGTAGAATTCTTTTGAAAAATCTTATACCTAAAAATATGTACCACTTTGGTATTGGCGCACTAGACCCTGCTAAATCTATTATTATTATATCAGCAGTTAACTTTCCACTGCTGAATAAAGGCCATTTCCATAAGGAGAGTTTTGCCAGTAGTATTCATACTTGGCAGACGGATTGGCAACCGCAGTTAGGATTTGGTAGTGTTTTAAGAGAGACCCTGATGGGCATGCCTCGACCATTTGGTTCCCTTTGTCGTCTTTTATGAGACCTACAGAAAAGGAAGCAGTGGCCCTTTCTATGCCGGGACAAGATGACGATCTTATTATAGTTGCAAGAAATTAATAGATGGAGGTAGAAAAGATATTATCTGCGGTGGTCTACGTTATTTAGATCAGTGAAAGTAGATGATGATAAAAGGCTGAAAATTAATAAAATGTGTTAATAAATTCCCAATAAATTATGTAAATTTTTTTTTTTTATTAAAAACAGGTAAACAGTGTCCTGTTACTTTATACACGTAATTGAAACCGGAAGGAGTCGATTCGTTGCGCACACGCCGGCACGCGTGCTCATCCACCCTAAGTGCAATGTAGTATAATAGGCGACATCTCCAAACTCTTCCCATGACATTCAAAATACCTGGTAAATATTAACCAGCAACTTTCTCACACTTTTTGTAGTAATATCATATATCATAATCCATCAATCAATAAAAAATACTTTATTTGAAAAATAGATTTTATAAACGAAAGAATCTCAAAAATATTAAAGGGGATATTCATAGTAATAACTTTATTGTTAGCAACATACTTTGTCAGGTCGATTTCTACACTGTCCCCTCTGACGAAACCATGGTGGACAATTTCTGGATAATTCGCCACGATAGCCAACTGACCTGATTTCATCCTTACTTACTTATTTTCATTGCTATCCCACCAATGTAAACTGAGAGATATTTTAGCGAAGCCTGAACTATCTGTCGGTATACGCATACAGTATTAGCATTCAATCACCCATAAAAAAAGAAACATATAATTTAGAATTAGGTAGATATTATCTTCTTCTGAACATTTTTTTTATTGCGGACTACCAGTCCCATTGCTAGCAATATACCCTATCAGGTCAACCTCTACGTGGTTTCCCTTAGAAACCATCGTGTTCAATTCCAAGTGTATTCATCTCGATGGGCTAACTGAGAGCTGCCTTTCCATTCTCACCTGTCATCCCTCACTAGTGCCCCACCAGCGTATACCACTAGCGAAGACGGAGTTATCATCCATTACAAACCAGCGTAATAATCAATACTCCAGAATTCTTATAGTAAAAGGCATTTACCCCAATAATAATTACTGGCAAACCTAGTTCAATAAACATAGATATGTTTAACAAGATTGAAATTATAAAACGTGTATAATATGTAGATTCTTAATTTCATTAATTACGGAAAAAAGATCTATACCTAAAAACATAATTACCTAATTTAGAGCCTAGCTTTGAGAAGATTATAAATAGACAGGTATAATATGTACAACATGCAAACATAGAGTACGGCTAAATTTTACTTTGCAGAAAAAATAAAAACGACTTAATTCATCACAAACTTCATTTAAAAATGTGCACATCTCATAAAAAATCTTGATTACCCCATTAGGTACTAAGTTTTTGACACCATAGATGATGCGCAATATATACTAAGAGAGTATCATATCGTATCGCAAAAAGCATTAATGTGCCATTTCAATCTAAATAGATTAAATTAATTGATAATTAATTAATAATTAATCTAATTCAATCTATATTAAACAAACCTAAATTATAAAAGTTCTTACCATCTAAAAAAATCTCTGTAAAATATTGTGCACAATAATTCCTCTCTTTCCAGGGGTAGGCAAAGTATTTAATTTTTTATGTAAAAAAACATCACAGGATACGATAGGGCTGATATATCTAAGGAAAGGTCTTAAAAAATTAATCAAAAAGAAGTTCATATTAATCATAAGTCCGTCTTTTGTACTTCATAGGTATTGTACTTGATATATTTTTATATTATTCTTTAAATGAAACAAACAACGAAATAAATACTATTGATTGCAAAAATATAGATAGATCGTGTAACATACACACAAAAAATACAAAAGAATTAAAAACTCTTTATACTGGAAGCCACAAAAAAATACTCCCACGGTCGAGTATTTGTTTATATCTCTTCTTCTCTTGTAATACACATATTTCCGATTGTTGTACAATAACAATGTAATATTGTTCAATATAATATAGTTTAGTAAAATAATAACCAGCCACGCCACCAACGGCAGCCGCCACTCGCCGACGCCGCGCCGCCCGCCAGCTATAAGCACTCCCTAACTGCGTAATCATGCGCTTTGAAATAATAGAGGGCTTTCGGTTTAGCCAAATACTATCAAAATTAGTAACTAATTATAGTTCATAGCATGATATGTCGATATGATTTCTATAAATCTTTTGTATAAAAATCTCGTGTAACAGCGTTTATGATCGACCTTCACCGAAAGGGCTCGATCGATTTTTATGATTTTTATATGCATACTTGGTAGATATAAGAATATGTCGTCAAGTATATTTCATACCGCTAGATAATTAGAATGTCCCTATTCAGGAAAAAACATGTATATGACAGAACATCGTTTATCGGGTCAGCTAGTAAATATATAAAATTCTATGTGATATATAATATATTTATGTCGGTTATAAACTAAATATTCTGCACGTTAATTATAATTATCGTTGAACGATATACGTATAATAAGATAAAAAATGTAGGTGATGAAATAACATGAAAAAAGTAATTATAAATTCAAATATATTATAATTAGAGGAAAAAAAGAATAGAATTGAACCAAAGAGTAATTGTGCATTTTCAAAAATTCAGTAGAAATAATAATAAAAAATTCTTTTTTCTTCTACACAGAATACCTATGTATGCATTAATATTAATTAAATATTTGTATGTCCATTTACATGACAAGCGACGGTCTGTTAAAAGTAGAACAATTAACTAAGTGCGACGTTATCGACACAATAAGTGTATTCGCTATTGGCTCGTGTTAAAATAAAAAAGCCCATCGCACGTATGTGTAAAGAGCACTTAACTTGATTACTTGAAGCCCTATAGTTAGTGGGTGTCTCTAGAAAAATATAGAGGTTTGAGCACATGCGACTGGTGGCCGCGTGGCGCCAACCTCCAACCAAACCCTGACACGTGCCAGAGAGCCCGATAATTGTAACGTGGAATACGCACACCAAAATCTCTCATCACCAAAATTCACACGTGCCAAAACGTAATATGAAGAACCGATTCATGTAATCTGTAGTCAATGTTGTGTACGCCTGCTATAGGTATGTATATCAGCATGCTACACAAAAAAAATGGTATTTAATTTATCTATAATATGTATACTGTTGGTGTGCCTAATTCGAAATAAATAAATAAATAAAACCAATTTAGAAATATGCGATTTTTTTCATTAATATATGAAATATATTTTATGGGAGATATAAGATAATCCGAAATATAAATAGCATATGATATTTCAAAATTTGAATAAATTCCTCCAAACATGTTCACAACGTGATCCAAACGTGATCACCTTTTGCGTTGTTATTCCTGAGGACTACTTTATTCTGCCTCCTTGCCCAGTAATTTAACAGCCATTTAAAACTATTTAAAGGGTAGGGATACCCTTTAAATCGAAACACAACCATACAAACACAGCTGCTTTCTTGATTGTGTTCATTTTTAGTAATAGCTAGTTATTAATTGGTTTAATAAAATAATTCTACCTATTATTAATTACTATTATCTAATATAAACGGGAACTATCCTACCGGCATCGTCTGAAGTAACTACTAACTAAATTATTATACATTTTTTTATATACATTTGTTTTTTTTAATGGGCGAAAATAGAATGTTAGCTCCGCCTGCGCTATCGGTATATACGCTAACAGGGCACCAGTGATAGATGATAAGTAAGGATGAAGGTAGGTCAGTTGGCCCATTATGAAGAATTCAACAAGAATTAACCACTATGGTTTCCAGGAGGAACCGCGTGGAAGTTGAACTGATAAGAGGTATATTGCTAGCAATGGAATTGCTAATCTCCATTACTAACAATCCTTCTCCCCCTCCCCCACATTTTTATTTTAATTATTTATCCTGGATTGTGGCATCCAATTTTGAGATAAGGTCATGCCAGAATATTCAACTTTCTCTCGGCATATATCAAATTTTTATAAGACAATCCCAATAACGTGTACAAATACTATAAAATATAGAAAAATAATAGCAATACTCCAAGGGGCATTGACACAAAAAAGCTTTTACATATTAATTAGCAACCGAATTCAACTGAAAGGCGAAAACTGATTTTTTAATGATATTGTAATTGCAAAAAATTGGCCGAAATATGGTGTGGTATCGATAAATAGGTACATATTTATAATCAAACTATCCCACTTGATGCTTCACATACGTGCGTACGTGATGCCAGAAGCCACTCTAATATCTATTTTTTCCTTGTATTTATGTCATATCTACCAATTATTAAAACGTTGACAAAAACAATAAAAAAATATAATAAGTCTCAGAGTATACCTTCGAGTCCTTTGTTCCGTGCTAAAAGCGCTAAAAGTACATCAGGCGGCGGCGGATCTAAAGAATGCATGTTGTCCAGATCTTGGTTCATAGGCGCCTGTCGCGGCCCCTCACAGTCTGTTACCACTTCGTATCCTGTATCCATGAAAGCACCGCTACGTCCGAAAAACACACTGTAAATATTGTACACCAACTCCGCGTTCTAACATCCCGCTCTAACAGCGTAAACAACACGGTCTCTGGAGCACCTGTGCATAGTTCCAGAATACTGTATTATCATTCCCCGAACTGGTGCAGCGGGCGTCGCGACGCGGCCAAAAGCCGGGGCCACGTGGCGGCGCCGCCCATGCCCGCCCCTCGCCGCGCGCCGCCCCCCTCCCTCCCATTGAGAAGTCATTTTTCACCCCCTGAATCTGATAAACCCCCGGGCCACAAGGACGGCGGCGGCGGCACGCGGGGCTCCCCCGCCCCGAACTAATTTTCCGGAGTCGCACGACACACCCCCGGTGCTTACATCCATCTACAATATTACGCCAGCACGTTATCCCGTTCGCGGGGGCACTTCGTTTCTACTCATCTGGTATCGTTGTGAAGAAAGGGAATTCTGAAATTATAGCCGCTTTCAAGTCTGTTCCTTCAAAAATTAAACGCAATTCATATTTTTTTCTTATTTTATAGATCTACTAACGACAGCATGGTTCTGCCGGCGTGAATTAGAATAAAAAATATCTTTTAGAACGTACATAATATAATAAAAATTAAGTATCTATAGACATCCAAACAAATTTTCACATTTATAATTATTATTGGTATAACTTTACTGAGCAGGGTGTAAATACGAACATCTTATACCGACTTACTTGTAAATATTTACAAATATTTTGCCAAATTCATGATAATTGGTTTAATTTAAAACAATTAAGGCTACATTTTATCTTGTTCATTATGTCGTAATTTTAACTACGTGATAGGTCACGTAGTTGAAATTACGGACACTACTAGTACCTATTTATTATAATATAGTTTTCGTTATCAGGATCAGCATTGGGTATATACAAATAAAAAGTCCGTTCTCTTTCTCAATTTGTTTTAAACGCATGTTTGTGTGTATTCTACACAAAAAAAAAATATATTTTTTTTGACAATTTTTCCCCATGTAAGTGATATTCCTTGTTTTGAACAATATTTTCGTGCGGTTTTTCCTGTGAATGTATATATAGTTTAGCATACAATGCTAGAAATGTATAAAATAAAACTGTGATGTGAAAATTCACAGTACGTATTTATAGACATAAACTTTAGACATGAACAATCTCTATATAGATGGAGATAGGGAACAGTTCCTTAATCTATGTTTATTATAACATTTCTTGTCAATATTGTGACACATTTTGCTACAATCGATTATTATTATTTTTTTTATATTTTACCATGGCTGATTATCTTAAACATACTTCTAAATTATTATTTCATAGCACTAATATGACAGCATGTGATCGCTATAAGCCAGACAATGTTTTCAACAGATTCAAGATGGTAGAATTCCCAATATCTTTCGTTGGATTGTCGTCTACAAAATACCTCGATGTGGAAGTAGATTTGAGTACCTCAGCATATCTAAAAACTACGTATGACGGCAATTTATTGGTGAGCCTTTTCATAAGCAATTGTTACCTATTTAAAACTTACTTAATAGATACAACAAATAATAACAGATAATAGGTAAATAACATTTCAACAAAAAATCCTATTATAATTATGAATAGCAATCTATCGGATCTGGATAATAATTAACACATGAAGAAACTATGACCTTAATATAAATGCAAAATATACATTTTGTTGTCACGATGCATTTCTATAAGAAAATTATTAAAATCTCCGCCGATAAAGTTACATTACATAATTTGTTATATATAACAGATTCCGTCTAGCAAAAAATAACAGCTTCTGAACAACAGACTGAAATTTTATCAATATTAAAATCTATTTATTTTTTGGCCAAACAAATTATTAAATTGCCTTATTATCAATTATTATTATTTTTACTAATGTTGTAAATTTCGCAGTATGTATTTTCTTTGTTTGTTATTTTAGTAATATTTTACATAGGTACATAATTCTTTATTTTAGAAATTCAGTGAAGCCCGTGAAATATCTGCATCACATAGAGCATTTGACATAACTATACTAGACAAGAGAACTATACTGATAACATTTAAGCCTTTAACAGAATGCATTTCGAGAGCAAAGCGAATAAAGCAGTTTGATAACAGATTTATATTTGATCTACGATTGATACAAGCAGATGGAGTCAGATGTTGTAATAACGAATTTCACTCAGAAGTTGGTCGATATTATATATGTGGAGAGTTTGAATACTGCACCATTACCCATTTTCCTAAAAGCGTTAACTTCGGAGACGTCATTATGAATACAAAATTAACGAAATATATAAGACTAAATAATGAATCTAAACTAATTTCCGCCAAAATGGAATACGTACGTATAACTGGATTTGAGGTCACACCTCAAAATTTCGACATCCCTGCTAATTCTTCTAAACGTTTAGCAATAACAATTAAACCAACTTGCTTAAAAATATGTAATACTCTAATATTTAAAATACGGAATCCTCACGACTTTACCGACGAAACTGATGAAAATTTTTTAACATACACTATTAAGTGCAATTTTAATATTATTTGTAAGAAACGTTCGAAGAATATTATAACAGAATCGTTACATAAATTAAATGAACTAAATCCTCATTATACGTATTTAAATAAAGAATTGGAAATACATGCTAACAGAAAAGCTGTAGCTAAAAAATATTTAGAGATAGGTAAAATGTCTCATGTTCAAAAACCTGTAATTGAAAAATTTTGCGCTAAAAAAAGAATATGGTGTTTGGATGCCTTTTTTAATACTAACAAACTTACAAAAAATGTCTGCAAAGGAATTCTTGAAAAAATTACACCTTATAACCTTTTTGATATCTTACTTAATCCCTTTTTTATTGATTTTGGTCGTGTTGGATTATTGACATATGGTGAACAAGATTTAAGTATAAAAAATAATAGCAAATACGATATTACTATCAAGTTATTGAATGACCCATATATACTTTATACAGATGATAAGTTAAAAAATGTGTCTTTTAAACTAAAGTCATCGAACTCTGTAGACGTAAAAGTATTTTGTTTAGGTTTTGTCGAAGGTACTTATAGAGGTACATTTGATTACATAATAGATGATAAATATAAACGAAAACATAGTTATGCTCTTCAGGTAAGTAATCCTACATTAATGGTCATGGAGAAAAGTTTAAAGTTTGGTATGGTTACAAATGAAAGTTTTATTACATCAGTCCCAATACGCATACATAATTATTTTAATATCACAGTTGATTTTAAATGGGATAAACTACACCCAGATACGCCTTTTGAAATAATTCCCAATTCTGGTTGTGTCCCAAAACATACTTGTAAAATATGTGACGTTTTGTACACTTGTAGAGCAAGTAAATCAAAGATACATGAAGTTGATTTTGTATCTGAAAGTAAAACGAGTAAAATATTTCCTATTGAACTTAGTATAATCACGAGAAAACTTTCTATAAAATTTTTACAACCAGCAGTTATTTTTAAAGATATTGTATTAAATTTAGAAACTATAGAAAGAGTAAAACTGGAAAATTCATCTAGAGAAATTGCTGTATTTCATGTTTTAGAACCTCTAATTCCAGGTTTCAGAATAGAACCTATGTCGGGCACTATAAGACCAAAAATGATAATGACTTTTGAAATTATTGTAAAAATTTCCTGTGTATTGGAATTTGCCTTTGATATTTTTGTAAAAATAAATAATAACGAAAATATAATTTTACCCGTCAGCGGAAACGTAGTAGAGCCAAGATTAATCATTCATCCTAAATGCATCTACATGTCGCGTGTACCTTGTAATATGATAACGTATGTTCCGGTTATATTTCAAAATACTAGTACACTAAAAAGCATAGTAGAAGTATCAGATACAGGTGATAAAAATATATTTAATGTTTATTCCGCCCAAGGAAACGATAAACAAAGAATATTTGAGTTTCATGTAGATGGAGGACAATCGAAAACAGTTTTTATAAAAGTATTTGACACATTTCGTAGAGAGTATGAAATGTATATACCATTCAAAATAAATAGATTATTAGGACCACCAAATCAAAATTCTTCGTCAACAGATCTTCAACATTATATTAGTGAATATGAACAGTGAGTACATAATAGAGACTATATTTTATTAATTTAATTACAAATATACAGATTTTTAATTTTATTTCTTCATGCTTACTGTCGTTATCGTATTACCTACCTAACATATTATTTTTGCAGGCTCTATAAAAATAATTCAAAAGTTAGATTGAAAACTACAACTAAGGACATCAGTTTCTGTAAAATAATCGGCGTTATTACGGTGCCTTGGATACAATTTTCTGTAGAAAAATTCGAAATTGATTTCGTACAAAATAGCACTAATGCTATACAATTTACAATGACGAATATATCTAAATATTATTTGTATGTTACTATATTAACATCAAAATTATCACCAAATTTTACATTAGATTTAAAAACTGAAGAAAACCAATTGATTATAAATGAGACTCATATAAAATTTGAACTTGAATGCAAAAAACAAGCCGATTTTTGTTTAAAATTTCATCCTAAGGGACATGGAAAATTTACTTCTACAGCTATATTATATTTAGATAAACATATGACAATACCTTACTACAATTTAACATTTATTGGAAAACGCCAAACACCTTTAATGGTACCCAGTACATATTGCATAGTATTTCCTCCTTGTCATGTGGGAACAAAAATTTCTCGGATAATTAATATAAAACTTGAAGCTGAATCAGATTTGAGTTCATTTTCTTGTATGTCCCGAGAAGAGTCTTATCTAAACGTCGAATTTATAGACTCAGAAACAATACTGAATCAAGGTGAATACAATACGATAGTGCAAATCGAAATAACCGTTTGTTGCCAAATCACTTATGCTCATAATTTAACACTTACTTTTAATCATGAAAGCGGTTCTGGTTGTGAAGTCGAAGTCAGCTTTTGTTTTACTTATTGTCCATTGACTTTGCATACAAGATTTATAGTCACGCCAGCGGACAATCCATTCCCGTATTTTCCTCTTAGTACCCAAAGTGAACTCTATGAATACCTTGAATCGTGTTCCAAATTTTTAGAAAAGTGGATGTTTCAACAGGGTTTTCGTAGAGATTTATACCCTGTTATTCCTGATACTTTCCATGCTATATCTTCAGCCATATCTTCTCAACCTAGTGGAACTAAAACTAAAGGAATTAACGTATCTTACTTGAACTTTGTAAGAAGGATTGCAGGACCATTGATGAAACACGTCCCTAAAATATCGTAAGTATTCAATCTCTTTAACAACCGTAAAATTTTAATTGACTATCATTTCAGGAAAAAAATAGTTAAATTATTTTTTATTATACAATGGATTCATGTTTCGCCTACTTGCAAGGAATCGGTTGAAAATTTTACGTATATGATACACAAAAAATTTGGTTATACACATTGGATTCTTAGGTTATTCTAATAATAAAAGATAGTATTAGTTAGTTATAATACAAGTAATATTTACAACAACCAACTTCAAGAGGTTCCTAATTTGCTTGTATTCTTTGTAATATATATATACTAATAATTACAAATTAAAATATTTTTACGTGTCTATATATTATATATTATTGCCTGTATTACACACACTAAATAGTTTAGTTACTTTTATTCTGTACTTTGTCTTTTAAGTAAATTCTTTGTGTACTGAAAATCTCAATAGAAATATAATGTACCTACTTTATAAATTCGTAAAATCTCATTGTGTTATTTTAACATTTTTTCTTTTTCAGACTACACGGCATTGATGATTCTTTTAAAACTGTTAAAGAAATACATGATACATATAAACAAATTATAAATTTGTTAAGATCGCGTGGCGCAAACCTATGGGTATTACAAGCTAAATTTCTCTTAAGTTTTGACCAATTTGTAATATATTCTGAAAATGTAACACCTAAGTATAATGCTGACATTATTTTAACAAGAGAGCTTTTAGCTGATATGCAATTATTCAACAGACTTAACAAACAGAGTTGGATTGATTTTATTTTACAAAGTTACAAAGTCTTCGTAATGGATAGCTGTTTTTTTGATTGCATATGTGTCAGTTCTCAACCTAGAGATATCATTAAAGTTTTAGTAGATTGGTATAATGAACAAATATCAATGCAACATGAAACATTACTTAGAAATCATAAAATGTGCAAAATTATTCATAATATAACTACCGATTTATCTGATGGAATTGCTCTAGCATCTGCAATTATAAATTATTGTCCATTTATGAAAGAATATTTTACAGTATTTTGCACAGTTGACGATGATAATAAAGAAGGTGGTATTATTAATAATGCATGTCTAATCATTGAAGCTTTAAATTTACTACGACTTTATTTCCCTCTTACCAGTAAAGATTTATTAGAGCCAAATTTTTTACAAATGTTATTTTTGTCGGTACATTTATATGTAACTTTGCCAATGCTTAAACCAAAGGATTTTATTAAATTTAATCCACCTCTTTTAAGAAGTTCAACCCGACAAGTAGCTATTGCACCAGCAAGTCAAGAGTCATTAATATTTAACTATATGATTCTGAACAATACACAAAATAACTTCGTAGTAGAAAAGACTCCAGCAGGTGATAATGGTAAAAAGATGTTTTTAAGTGTAAAATATATTGCTAATTATGTATCCGAAGAGACTTGTATTCTTCTTGTCCATGGATATAATAAAACTAGAATATTTGACACATATATGGTATTCGTACTCCATGGGTACATTGGAGCTTTAAACCCAGTAAGAAAATGTAAAATAACTGGACCTCTATATCGTCCTGTAAAAGTTGATATTTTAGTATCATCTCCATTTACTATGTCTGCAATATTTCAAATATATTTAACAGATAACGAACCAACAATTCCAGTCATTTTTGAGTCCAACAATAAACCTAGATTTTATTTGCGAAGACTCAACCTTATCGACAATGAAATATCTTTAAGTGGCTTGCCAAAAGAAAGTGGACAAGAAATTCAAGAACATAAGTTATACTTACAAATGATTTGTCTGAGTACTCAAACAGAAAATACTTGGATTTGGTTTACAAGCAATATAGGACATTTTTTTATTAGAATAATCTCACAGCCTCGTTGGGATCTGTCTATAGATACTTTGCATGCAAAAGTTCATACCTGGCCTATGGATCCCTGCAGCTGCGGAGAAGCTTGTGAGTGCTATAGAACAACGGTCCTAATGATACCACACCGCAATGATTTTATGGTCAAATCTTTACGATATGCTTTACTTCAGCACGCATCCGATATTATGATGAAAGTTTTTGATCAATTAATAGGTATTATACTGTTACTTTTACTTTTGTCCTTAAACATTTTTTTTTTTTTTATTATAAAATATATCATTATTTTTTAGAAACGTCAACAGGAAAAATAATTATTGGAATGTTGTTGACTGAAGGAGGGACACATATGTCTGATGTGGAACACATTCTTCACAGTGAAATCACTTATCGCATAACATCACGAACGCTTCTGCCTCGCCTGGATTCTGTGAAACTAGCGCAACATACTACCGCTATGTTACCCCTACCAATTACAGTACCAGCTCAGGATAAATCTGAGAAATATTTTGTAGTATTCACATCTGACTGTGGAATGGATATACGCACTTATAGAGTTCTCTTCATAGAAACTTCCGAAAATGTTTCTAATTTGTAACTAAGACTACCGAATTATTCTTATTTTATAATTCTTTCAGCACAATTTATAGTTCTTTTATTTTTTTTATATCTATATTAATATTATATTTCTCTCACTGATTTAGTCATTTATGACTAAATCTATTTTGATGAAATTTGATATAGGGATTATTTTGTCAATAATTAAAATACCTCTACAGTTTTACAACTATTTATATGTCTGTCTTCACGATAGATCCCATTCGAGTATTCAGGTGAAACCCAGTACAAAAAAAAATATGTAATCATTCCGCACTTCTTTCACTTAGTAAATGTTGATTATTATTATAAAAGATTAAATCTCTCTAAATAATATAAGACAAACCGCTGCATCTATTTGTATCTCCACTTCCTTCTAAAACATCTAAATCGATTTTGATACGGGTGTTACTGTCATTGAGATATTTTTATTTTTATACGGAAAGTTTACACATACAATTTGAACCTAGGGGTCACTAGTTGTATATACCTATTCAAATTGTTAATATTCGGTATGTACCTATGGTTTATTTATGTAACTAAAAAATTTACTTATTATGTTAATACTTAAATTTGACATGTTTATTTTAACAAAATGTCTACTTATTTTGATTATTACGTGTTTGTTTATTTAGTTTTTCTTTATTTACCATTAGCTTTTGTATTTATTATGTCGTATCATAGTGACAAAATCTAACAAAAAAATCAAATAGTAAATTATCGTCAGCTGCCAAGTTAATTAGCCATAACCTCATATAATAAACCAATAACTTTCCATTATTGTATACGAGTCATCCCTTATAAGGAAAGTTTTATTTCGATTTTTCTACCTTTATACTGGTGTATTTTTCCTATTTTATTCCCTTAATCTTTTCTGACGATGAAAAAAATCCTCATAGTTTACAATGTTACACGGTTTGATGATTTTGTCACTATGGACACCTTTTTATTATATTTTTTGTTATCGAGTTTTACTACTTTACTATGTAACAAACAAGTTTCTATAAATTTAATAAATATTTAAACCAATTTCAGTACCAGCTTATTGTATCGCTTCTAAAATAAAATATAAACAATTAAATCACGAATATGCAATTACAATAAAAAAAAACGGTATGAAATTTAAATGTTATAGTTCCGTATAAGTTTTTTCATAACTACATAGACAATATTATTTTACTTATTTAACTAATTTCCACATAACTACCAACTAAAATTAGTTTCGTTATCTACATATAATCTAAAAAGAAATCTTCTACTCAAATACAAATAAAGAAGATAAACTCATTCTCATCGCACGGCCTATAGGACCTATATATATATATATATATATATATATACGGTGGTATAGGTACCAAACAATGTTACTTAAAAATGCTTTCAACCAAAATATGGTGTTTAACAATAGAGGACTTTTAGAGGACCATTATTAGATAGCTTTATAGAAAATTATGATTGTCGCCTAACTGCTTTGGACATCACCGTATATACGATACAGGTGACACTTAAGGACCAAGATTACACCTCTGTTCTCTCCAACCTGTTTAATATAATAAATATATAATAGACATATTTGTACATAGATAAAAAAAAATTATCATTGTCTATCGTTTGAAAAGACTTCCCCCGTAATTATTATTAATCGAGGTCGAGTCAATTCCTTTTTTACAATTCGCGTAATTTACAAATTATTCGTAAAATCCTAAGGGTTTACGGAAGCAACACAATTGCAAGAATCGTTGAAGCGCGATCGAATCGGAAGATTCTGTACACGCTGGTACCGCCGCCTCCGCAAACGCCTTGACCGGCCCAGGTCATTGGTCCATGCTTGCTCTACCGCAACTAATTAGATTTAATAATACAAAAAGTTAATAGAAATGTGTATTTCAGTTATAAAACAACAATTCTTATACTGGTTTGTTTTAATTTAAAGGGAAAGATTTAATCAACCTTAAAAATGTTAGTGTCAGTTACGCTAAATGAAAAAACAACATAGAAAAATAGCTGGGATAGTCTTAGAGCTAGAACTAGTGTAGGTTTAAACTAAAAAGAAAACAGCAAGAGCTAGAATAGAGCAAGAGCAGAATAAAGTAAAAACAAAACCTCTATGTTTTTTTTTTAGTTAATGTATACTGCACCAAAATAGAGCATCTAATTATAGCCTAGATATAGATGACCCTTAGCCCTCAGGGTGAATACGAGAAGTATTTTCATGATTAAGAATTATTACTGCATTATATCTGGTGTTATGGCTTAATTTTAAATTAATAGACCCGAGTTTTTATTTATTTTCTTGCAATATGCATTTTTCTTTCCATATTCCATGTGAATACAGATGAATTTTCTAGTTATAAAAAATAAAATACCATATGAAATCACTCCGAATTTGTGGCATTATTACAAAGCTATGTTCGCCAAAACACTGGTTAATTCGCATTAATAAAACACTGGTTCTGGTTCTCTAATCGATTAGGATCGCTTTGTTTTTACAAAACATTTTATAAAATGTTTAATTATATACCTCCATAGGTCGAAAACGACCGCACTTATATTCGAATAAGTCAATGTATTTTCGTTAATAGCTTTGAAGACAGATATAGAAATATTAAGGTGTTCTTAATCATTTATTCCCATAAAACTGAAACTTGTACTTATACTGAAATAAGTACTTATTACATTATTATTCCCTAATTTAAATAACAATATATTTTTTTTAATGGGTGATAATGGAATGGTAACCCCACTTGCGCTTTCGGTATACGCTGGCAGGGCACCAGTGAGTGATGATAGATGAGGATGATGTTAGCCCATCGTGACGAATTCCACTAGAATTAACCACGATGGTTTCCAGGGGGAACCGCGTGGAGGTCGACCTGATAGGGTATATTACTAGCAATGGGTTCATTAGACCCCATTACTAACAATCCCTTCCCCCCAATAACAATATTTTAGTATATATAGTATTTAATGAATATTTTACCTTTTGGCATTTGCAATTTAAACAACCACCAACCACCTGTTTACAGTACATCTTTCTACAATCAAGAAAATTTACTCTAATTTTGTTCCATAATTCCTACTTCTTGTTATAAATACAATTCTGAAAAGTCAGGACGGCCAGGCTGTGTTTTGATACTATATCAATAAATTAATACGTAGCTCACCCACATTAATTGAGCTTCTTCTGCTGTACTACCTGACCTCCGCACAATAGACCTTAATTACCAATCGATCTAGAAAAAATCTCCATATACGAACACATGGATAGAACTGTAGTACCCCAATATAAGTAATTCCACCTGATAATACGTAATTTACATTTAGGTAAGTGCTTATTACTCCAGCATAAATAAGGTTCTAGTGTAATTAGGTATTTTTCAATTACACTAGAATACCCATATTACAAAATATTAACTACGCCAGTTTCTAATAGGTTATGGGGGGGGGGGAAGGCATTGTTAGTAATGGGGTTTAATTTACACACACTAGCAATACACACTATCAGGTTGATCTCCACGCGGTTCCCCCTGGAACTATCGTCTGGAAATATCCTAATAGGGGGAAAAGGATTATTAATAATGTGGACTGCCAGTCCCATTGCTAACGATACACCCTATCAAACCGTTCCGTCTGAAAACCATCGTGCTATTCCAAGTGTATTCATCACGATGAGCTAACTTACCTGCTTTTTCATTCTCATCTGTCACTCCTCACTGGTGCCCCGCCAGCGTTTACTGGTAGCGCAGATGGGATTACCATTTCATTATCACCCATTAAAAAATAGGTTATAGGAAGTCCCATTATACCAATTATTTCACCTTGAGGTGAAAAATTAGATAAATTTTTCAAAGGCTTACGAATTTATTTTCATAATACGTTAAAAATAAATTGCTACTATTAAAAATAGGTACACATGATAATTGTGAGTTTGCTACTCTATTATTAAGGATAAATTTGTACCTATTCACATGATCATATATTTCAGGATCTATGATGATGTTAATAATAATTTAAGATTGTATCTCACAAAAAAAAACGACATCTATTGTGACAAAACCGGTTACCTCAATCAAAATTTAAATTACTAAACCGATTTTGACAAAATTTCTTTGGGACCAATCTGTAAATGTATCCATTACAGATAAAAAAGAATTTTCCAAATTGATTTAAAACCGACGGAATTATAAAGTATCAAACATAAAAAAATTCAACCGAATTGAGAACCTCCTTCTTTTTGAAGTCAATTAAAAATAGATTTTTTCATCCCTACCTATAAAGTTATCTATACATATGTTTTTCTACGACATCTGCTTAAAAATACTTATATTTACTTCTTTATTTTCTTAAAGTAAAAATTAGACAAAGCAGATAGTCTATTTTTGCTCTAACAAAAATTGGAAATATAAAAGAAAATAATATGAAATTCATTAGTAACGGGTATAATTTTTTGATACAATTTTTTCGAAATTCTTTAAGAAAGGATCAAAAGACCCAATTGTCTCTTAATGATTCTAATGCATATAGGGGTATTCCAAATCGTGTTTTTCGTTGTCTTATACTTAATCCTTATATCTGTGGCCCTATATTACATGAATCAACTTTAAATGACTACGGTAACCCCGTTCATCATCAAACGGGCCATATGCTTCTTTGGTACCATTATAGTATAAAATAATTGCATTTTTCTTATCAGTTATTTGCGTATAAATGATAACAACGACCTGAAAATCTTTTTAAAATAGACATGTAATATATATATATATATATATATATATATATATATATATAATATATATATATATATATATATATATATATATATATATATAAAATAAGTCAGATTTTAGTAATTATTGTGTAACTGAAATAATTTTGAAATGGGCAACATTTGAAAACGGATCTTCTACGCCACATCTGGACCGGTAGATATACTTATTACATTAGTTGAGTAGTTCCAGTATTTTATACATTAATAAATATTTTGTTTTAAAAGTCTCGACTAAAACATAATACACATATATATAATATTATAGTACCTATATACCTAATTGTAGATCTGAATGACGACGAACGTCTCAAACGGTAGAAAGCCGATTTACGCGTGCACCTATAAATCCACCTCCCGTGTTCTTGTACCACCATTAACTCTCCGAGCGTCATCATTGTTTCAAGTGTCTTTAAACTTTTCTATTATAAAACAATTATACTTTGATTACCTAGTGTTTTGTATCGAAATACTTGCGAAGTTCGTTATTTATTAATTAAAATAGGTAGTGGCTCACAACTTTTGGTGTTAGAATGGATTCCCAACAGTTCCGAGAGTTCGGCAAAGCCGCTATTGATACAGTGGCTGACTATATGGACAGTATAAGGAATAGGTAAGATTTTAAGTTATTTATTACATATACTATCATAAAGATACTAATATCTTTCCCGTTAAAGTTAGGCCTAAGGAATAGGCAGTGACCACAGGATCCCGTCTGTTCATATCTTGATCTTGAATATTTTCATATTGTTTATTGTTTGGGCATATTTTAAATTAAAGATATAAAAAGTACACAGAATTAAGTTATTAGTTTTCCTTTTGAAATATTTATTGTTTTAAATATAGATATATAGCTACCGTCATATTAGTGCGTCATAATTACTATAGCAATAGAAAACTAGTCAAAAAAGTAAAAACATACTCAACAGTGTGATATTTGAAATATTATTTAAATTTAATATATGTATACCAATTTTCAAAGTGATTAGTTAAGAAAGGCGCTAAGAGGCAATAAACAAATAAATAACCCTCGTTTTCGCTTCAACAAACAAACGTACTTTTACATTATAATATTAGTAAGGATTATGTAACTATGATTGTATAATTGAAAAATATATGAAATAGCACGACTTTGAACCTCATAAGGTATATCGGAGTCGGTGTATGAATACTTACACGCAGATAAAGCATCTTTTTTTTTAATTTATAATGTAGTTCTCTAAAATAAAATAGTAAATTCTAACTAAATGCTCTGTTTCAATTTGTTTATATGTAAATATTTTTATTATAATCAAATGATTATTGCAGTAATACCTACTTTTTGTAGCTAGATAGTAAGTTATATATAGAGTAAGTAACCAATTTATTATTTAACTAGTATTGGCATACACACAAAAATATATTAAAATTGAAAATCTCCATCTACTTAAAAAAAGAACCTGCATATACAAGATGTACATATATTTTTTATCCGGTTAATAACCAATACGGTCTATAAATACAACGGCAATTAATCAGAACATCAATAATTATAACTAAAACCAGTTTTACAATAACTTGTAGGACCGATAAAATAACACGATGAAGTAAAAGTAACTCGTAATACATTAAAAACATTTGTTACTTAACTTAATTCGTCAAAAGGTCTAAGTCAAGGTTAAGAAACAACGTTGATTTATTTTCAAGCGACTTCAAAAAATGAATAATAATACCTCCTGTATCCAATTCGCCTCAGTTTTTTTGCATAACCGATTTTGACAAATATTTTTACAATCGATAGAGTTTATTCCTCTATTAGGGCCCTTATAAATATGTCACGACTGAAATTATCATTTTACGGAACAAAATATTTAACTCTGCAACGGACTTCGCATGTAGATATATTAATATATATTTATTTACACTTATGTAATCTATAATTTAACAAACAAGTGTCACAGTTTTAATCTCTGATAATTTTTTTCTAAAGTACATAATATTAAATATGTAAAACTCATAGGTTAAAGATAGTATATATCCTGCCATCCCAAATCTACACTAAAGGACTGCCTGAGAAACAACGTGCAGTATAAAATAGTAGGACTAGAAAGTATGAAAATTCTACATAGAAGTTTCTTGTTATTAGATAATCACTGACCATCAGTAGAGCCGCATGCTCGTTTGACCCCTGTGTGATAAAAACATCATAAAACAAAAAATAATATGGACGATGCATATAAGTAATACAGAAATATCTAGTCTCCACCAACATAGCAAAACAGCTGGTTGACATATTTGTAAACACAACTTACATATGGTACATAGATATAAATACAAACAATTATAGTTGTGTGATTAAATAATAAACATCGAAATATCTTTATAAATTTTCACATTAGTAATAATATTACTTAAGATAGTAAGAATATAATAATAATATTATTAAGATAGTAGTAAATTAGTAGATACTTATTAGTAACATAACTAATATTTTCTCATCACAATGAAAATGCTAAAATGATAATAGCCATTGAAGATTTCCAAATGGATAGTTGATGAACGTAGTAATATGTTATGTTTTACAAGGTTCGAAGGACTATTAATTAATTAGCATTATTATTTACATTACAAAGAAACAAGTTCACGCTGATATGCGTGATGCCGTTATTACCTGACTATAGATTGATAGTAAACAAAACATGCAACATGAAATAATCCATCGATTATTCTTTGATAAACTAATTATGACATAATTGCAATCTAATTAGATACAAGTTCATAAATTCATTTTCCTACAATTGTTAAATAATACCATGATAATCTCAAGACCGGAGTTTGACATTGCTACGAGTATCAACGCAATTATTTTGTTTTATTATAAGTATGGAAATGCAAAAGATGCGAAAAAATCGAAACAAAACCCTATACAAGCCATTTAGTCAGCGTGTAATAAAAAGAGTTATTTCTTCAATTTTTTGTATGTGTGTTAATCGAGGGTTTGCTGCAGTGTTGGTTCCTATTACGTTCTTTTCAATTTATAATCCTTTTTTAAGAACAAACTGTACTTATTACCAAACAAACATATCTATAAAAAATATAGTTTGATGATCCCTAAATATCCAGATTAATATCCAATGCTCGTCGAAATAATGTTTATTTCATAAATGATATCATATTTTTTTCAATTTTTTTAAGAAACCAACTTTTAATGTTAATTTATTGACCTGATTTCCACGTATATTCCAAATAACTCATATTTTCTCCAAATTAATGTCTTTATAAAACATATTCTCAAAATACAGTTGGTATTTAAATTCCGCTTATAATTTATTAAAATGTTAATAGGTGAGTAAATTAAGTTAGGTAATATTGTTGTGAAAGGATTGATCTACCTAGACACTGTGTTAGCATGTCTAGCTGTTTTCTGTAGAATAAGCAACATTCTGTAGGAGCTATTACTTATCGTGTCATCATCCTATATATAAGAAAATTTAAAAAAAGTGCTTAACTATGCCGTAAACGTTCATAAGTTTCAATCCAAACGTATTTAAATTGGCATTGTCTCTACAAAGAGAAGTATAAGAATTGGTAAGCGAGTTTTATAGGGCTCCTGGGGTATGCAAAAGTCTTATTCCTACCTATTTCTGTTGTAAACAAAATCGCATGCGTTCTGTATTAATGGTAGTAGGTACTATTCCTTTATGTATGTCAAGGATGAGATGACCAGTTCAATCATCTCAGAGACGTGCTATGGACATCATGTTATTAAGTAGTTTGTATGACATTACTCAATTCCAAACGCGATGGTTCTCATTTTCTATACATTGTACCTACAAAAATTAACAGATAATTCTGTACTATATACTATTTTATTATAAAAAGTTTCATATTTATCGCCTAGCTAACAACTTTTCTATTTTCATTTTGTGACAAAATTTTTAACGTATTTAATGTATTGTTTTTTTTTTTTTTTTCTACAGAAATGTCCTATCGTCAGTAGAACCAGGATTTTTACTTAAAGCTCTTCCAGAAGATGCACCAGAACAGCCCGAAGATTGGAAAGATGTACTTAAGGACTTCAATGAGACTATTCTAAGTGGTGTAAGTACATATATTGAACATCGTCAACAGCTGTAGATAAATCTGATTAGAATAACAAAACCGAGTAATCAACTCAACTTTAGAAAGTATAACAAATTCAATAATTCGTATTTTGTATTAATAAATAGATACCTTGAAGTTTTAGGAAACTTTGCTTAAATAGACCAATCTCTTGTAGTAATTTTTTTTCAGCGGAATTATATCAAAAACTTTGCTAAATGATTTAGCTTCCTTTGAATGGCCACATTATGATGATAAAAAACAACAATTTACCTTTTCATTCTATTATATAATACTTTTGAATATCTCGAACCTTTGAACTATAGTGAATCGTTAAATTTCTTTTCTATTTAAACTTGAATTAAATTTGTTGTTAATTGGAGATTAAATTTGTTATAAAAAAAGATAACCCAACAAATTCATCTCTAATACCATACCATAAATATTAGTGTAACCAACTTCATTTTGGAAGAATGTCCATAATCCAGAAATGATGGATCTCGCTACTCCAGATAAAATTTGAAGCTTGGGAATGAAACCAAATACTTTTATACTACGACACTCGTTCAACAAAAGAATACAAAAAGTTTTTTTTTTTTATAATTGAAAGTGTTATTTATTATAGGTACGTATTTAACAAATCTGAAAAGTTATTAATAGAAACTTTAATATTAAAAAATAAAAATAATTTTATACACTTAACTCGTATTTTTTTTTTTGTTTTTCAAGCCAATAACTCTTAGACCGACCTTCGTATGTCCGTTTCTGAACAATGTTGAAATGTTTTTAATTAAATTTTTAGGTAACACACTGGCATTCTCCACGATTTCACGCCTTCTACCCTACTGGTTCATCATATGCAAGTATAGTGGGCAACATACTTTGCGAAGGTTTGGGTGTCATGGGATTTAGCTGGGTTTGTAGTTTCCTAATTTTATATATTTTTTATTAAAATTAAAATTTTGTTCTTCCATTAATTTTATTTTTCTTCTACCGTGATATTTTTTTGTATCGTATTTTTATATTTACAATGTCTTCTACTATGATGATACTACAATAACAATACTTTTGTTACCTCTTAATGGTATACAGAAATTATCAATTATGGCATATATTATGGCGTATATATATAATAATTGCAAATGTCTGTAAAGATGAATGGATGTTTGTTACTATTTCACGCAAAAACTACTGAATAGATTTGAATGAAATTTAGTACATAGATAGGTTATATCCTAACTTAGTATATAGGATACTTTATGTTGATACGGATTCATATATGGTAAACGAAATCGCAGGATACAACTAGTACAGTAGTAATGATAATATCATAATATAACATACCTAAAGTATATAAGAACAGGTTATAAAGTGGAGATTGCTTTAGTAATAAAGAAATAAAGAAAACAAAATTTTAGTGCAAAAATAATTATCAAAATAGTTATAATATTACTCAGTTAATTCAGCTATGATATTGTTTTAAAAAAGTACAGAAGAATTAAAAAACTCCTTCAAAACTTTATCATTATTAAATAATGTATATTCATCATTAATGATGAATATGCATTATTTGATAATGATAAATGTCTTTTTTTCTTTTTAATTTTTATTTTATCGTTTTGTATAACCCCTCAGTTATAATTTTCACTATATTTTTTTTATTAATAATAAATATCTAAAATCTACTACACAAAAATACTGCCTTTTGAACAGTTTTATTAGACACAGGTAATGCAGTACCACTAGTCTCGAACAATGTGCATATTACTTTGAAAATAATTTCAAATTAAATTTTTGTACGTATACATTTCATAAATATTTTGAATTTCATTTTTTAGATGTCAAGTCCTGTGTGCACCGAGTTAGAAGTAGTGACACTAAATTGGCTCGGAAAATTGCTGGGACTACCTGAAGAGTTTCTTAACTGTTCATCAGGTTCTGGAGGAGGCGTCATTCAGGTACAAACAATTTATAAGTAATAACTTTTAGAATTAATGTAACACTTCCACGTGTATCGGTATACCAACAACCATTATAACGAAAAGATTAACTTATTTTAAAGGTACATATTGTAAAAAGACCTTAAATTTTCTTTTAGACTTTCATCAAAATTTCTTCATCCATGTTATAGAAAAATATACTTAAATTTAATAAATTTTTAATTTTATAGGGCTCTGCAAGCGAAGCAACCTTAGTAGGACTACTTGCTGCAAAAGAAAAAACAGTTCGAAGACTATTGAAGGTCAATCCTAGTATGGATGAAGGTGAAATTAAATCTAGGCTTGTGGCCTATACATCAGACCAATGCAATTCTTCAGTTGAAAAAGCTGGATTACTAGGCTCAATGCAAATGAAATTGCTAAAAGCAGACGCTGATGGCAGATTAAGAGGAGAAACATTAAAAAAAGCTTTTGATGAAGATCGCGCTCAAGGTCTAATACCTTGCTACGTGGTTGCAAATCTGGGTACTACTGGAACATGCGCTTTCGATCCTTTGTATGAACTTGGACCAATATGTAATGAACAAAATGTATGGCTTCATGTAGATGCTGCATATGCTGGTACTGCTTTTATTTGCCCAGAATACAGACATCTGATGAAAGGTGTCGAATTTGCAGACTCCTTTGATCTGAATCCTCACAAGTGGATGCTTGTGAATTTTGATCTTTCTGCGATGTGGGTAAAAGATGCGTACGATTTAATAAACACATTTGATGTTCAACGTATATACTTGGCGGATATAAAAACAGATACAAAAATCCCTGACTATAGACATTGGCAAATTCCGTTAGGTCGTAGATTCAGATCTTTAAAATTATGGACTGTAATGAGAATATATGGTGCGGAGGGTCTTAGAGAACATATTCGAGTACAAATTAGCCTTGCTCAACATTTCGCAAAATTAGTACGATCTGATGATAGATTTTTAGTAGAACCCGAACCTTCGATGGGTTTAGTGTGTTTTAGATTAAAAGAGGGTGATAATGTCACAAAAAGATTATTGAAAAATTTGACAGAGAAGAAAGAGATATATATGGTAGCTGCTACATATCGAGGCAGATATATAATTCGTTTTGTAATTTGTTCGCGTCTGACAAATATAGATGATGTAAACTACAGTTGGAATAAAATTAAAGAAGAAGCTAATCTCATATGTTCTCAAAACATACATGTCAAAGCCAACACGCCTGCTCTAAATCACATAGAGTCTGTAAATATCTATGAAAAGTCTAAATAAACTAACCAGTATATTATAGGTACGTAAGTATTTACCTATATACTTACCTAAGTAGATGTTACACATATAAATAGTGATTTTAGAATACATACAATCAAATAACAATCAATCCATAGTGAACTATTTTTTATAAGACATATTCTTTAGTTACTATCATACATTTAGGTACAGCAACTGTAACATGAGAAAGGCGGAATTAATAAGTACGGTGCATAGGTAGCAAGTATCTCAAGGTTTACGAGAACATAATGGACAATTACAAAAAAAAAGTGGAGTTAATTTAAAGTATTATAAAATGAAAGATAAAAAATAAGTCATATAAATATAAGCACTAAATTGTTTAAAAGTAATAAGCATAATAAATACTTAAGTGAATGAAAGTTGTAATTATTTACAATTATTTTCCCTACAGACTCAGGATAACATATCAAGTTAGTTACCAAGTTTTTAAGTAGGTTATATATGTCGAATATATAACTTACGGAAATCAATAACAAACTCCTGTTTCTTTTCACTTTAAAAAATCATTAAAATTTAAAATATTTCTATTATATAATTTTAAAATTGAAATGAAATATCGATTGTGTTTGAAAGGAAGTAAAGGGTTTAAGTAGAATTTGTCTCTACCCAACAATAATTTATCACTTTTTCCAGTCCTTAATGATATTTATTTTCTACTTCATGTAAACAAAAATGGATTTATAGTATCGTTTTATACATAATAGATATTTCTGACATTTCTGTTATTTAGTTCTAAGTACTTCTGTTATACACAACTGCATGTTTTGCTGATACAAATTCCGTAAGAATATCCTTTCGGCAAGCAATGTTCCTGACACACAATATCTTCGGTCGCTTCTTCAAAATCGCACGGAACACGATTAGGAATTCTTGGTTCTGAAAAAAAAATTAAATAAAGTCCCTTCGTATTATACGACAACGACTACTAAAGTACTTATAGATACATAATTCTAAATTAATAGCGTTCTACTTTTTCCAAACCACTTTTTCACATTTAATTGAATTTTATAATTAGTATAATATCTGTGTAAAATATTTTTAACAATGAACGATATTTTAACTAACAAATGAAATTTATGTTGCTTATATTTTATTAGAATTGCATACTTTCCATATATAAATTCAATATAATCTTACATTGGTATAACCTTGTAAACTTCAACTTTATAAAAAAAAGAACAATAGGTCTATGATAATTTGTATACGTAGATAATGTATTATTCCATTCACGTAATTGTCCATCTCTGCTTATTTATTCCTACCTGCACAGGTACTATAATCGCTGATATCATATACTAATGTTTGCCGACACAATCATCAGACTTTCCTATTCAAAAGTAGTTGTTCCTTACAGACATGAGCATCATAAAATACACTATAATACTCATAGTAATTCTTGTGCGTTGCCATTCCTGGAAGCTTAATTGTTATGCTTCGCCATATTCTGTATTTTCTTTACCATATCTCACCTTTCACCCCTTCCTTTCCCGTGAGTGTCGTAAGAGACGACTAAGGGAGGGCGAGGGATGGGCAGCAGCATCCCTCTTAAAACGTCTCTAAAGCCTAACTGCAGTTGCCAATTCGCCTGCCAAACGTGGCAACTACTGGCAAAACCCCTAAAGGGGAGACTTATATTCAGCAGTGGACAGTTAAAGACTGATATGATGATGATGATGATGATCCTACCCTTCAAAGCGAAAAACAACTAAAAGCTATACAAGCATAGCTACTATGCTAAAGAAATACAAGTTAGACAATGAACGTTTTTACAAATACCCCTTTTGTAAAAATTGTTAGCCTGCACCACACGAATATGATCAAATATGACACAACCGAATAAAGAACTTATAAAATAACGAAACAACCATTTTCATCACGTAAATATGTATCTACATGTTTTTTATGATTCTTTTAAATAAAAATCAAGATATCAATTAACAAATATATGTTAATGTTAACTCGGATTGCCATAGAAACTTTTATTCCCTATTTACGCTAAAAAAGTATATACTTAAAATATACTCATAAATACATAATCGCAATTAAAAGAAAATCTAAATAAAGTACGTTTTTATCACATACCGTTAACAATAATTTCTTCCGTGCCCGCTTGATCTAGCTTGTTCGGTGAATTGTAATGACTCTGCACATCTTCTGTTTTCAGCACACTGCTATCTTTTGGTAAACCAACTACATTTACTATCAAATGAACGAATAGGAAAACCGATAATATTAATGTAGGATGCTTCATTTTTAGATTAAAATAAACAAATTAACAATCAAAATTACTTCACGAACTCACTTGTACCCACAAAGAATGTAAGCAACTAACAAATCAACGAATCACGATGCGTCAAATACTCATTAAATATGAGGTCAAAATACATAACAGCTATATATATGACTACCTATTGTTAACGTGCCGTGAGTAATCCATGCAACCTATAACCAGTAATAAGCAAGTACCTAAATATAATTAATTTCTAGGAAAATTAGTAAGAATAATAATCATTAATTAATGAGCCATTTATGTATCATCATTGCACAATCCTTACTAATATTATAAATGTGACAGTGAGTTTGTTTGTTTGTCACCTTATAGCGATCACTATAAAGTTTGATATACTAACACGTAGAACATGGGACGGAGAAGGATAAAGGCTACTTCTTATAATGATCAATGAATATATCCCGGTTATGCGGACGAAGTCGCGGTTAAAAGCAAGTACAAAATAAAAATATATGTAAGTAGGTAGTGAAATGTTACTTAAAATAGTTACAATTACGGACCCCATTTAATAAGATTTTTTGAAATTAAAATACAGCTCATATTACATGTTAAAGTGGTTGAGCCGGGGTCATTTTCATACAACATATTTTTGTAATACACGCTGTAAGTAAGTATAACGGTATTTTATTAATAACCAATACCAAAAAATTGTTCTAAAAATTCTATATCCGCAAATTAAATTATAATATTGCTTTCACCGATAAATCAGGTTTAAATTAAATTATAAATTTGGTAAAATTTTGTCCATCTTCTCTTAGTGTGTGTTATGTTTATACAACATAGACTGTAAGAGCTATTTACGGATAGGACGTTCTGAATTATCATATCACCATATTTGTTTTGGATAAGTAAATATAAACAGTCATGGAATGAATACGAAATATTTTATACTTCATTTTAATTCTTATGTATACCAAAAATGTAACTTTGTATAAATAAAAATTATAGATGTCATTTGCACAATATATATATATATTTTTTTGTGTCTAGTCAATAATCATATAATTATAGCTATCGAACGCACCTACCTATCACGTGATCGAAAGAAATATCGGTTCATTCATAAATCTATGCTGGCATATTATCAGTAACCATAATATAATTTAATTGTTTTTATTCAATGTTTTATTTAACTTACTTTACTAAATTCGAATATATTGAATACGTAGTGAAGCGTTCTTATAACATACACGCGTCTTCGTCTTCGCCTCGTAATGTTAGTATATATAGGTATAAGAATTTTCAATATTCAAAAAATCTCATGTTACGCTATGCAAACATGTTCATTTTAAAATCTTTAAATTCGGCTCTACAAGGCTATACCTACGTTTTTTATGTTACGCGATATCTTCGCAAATTCTAGACTGATTTTGATAATTCATTAACCCTTAAATACCTGAAGTTTCAAATTTGATACCGGGGTTTCATTGTTAAATAAATTTAAATATTTTGATTACCGTAATGCGTAAGTATCAAAAATGATACCAAATGTTTTTTTCAAAATAAATATATAAAAATATCGTTTTGATTTTTTGTTTACTATTTTCCCCATTAATAAACACGGTAAAGAATACACATATATTTTTTAATTTGATTAATAAATCAGGCTTTTAAGGGTTAATCATTTCGCAATCGACAAAATTTACTACCGTGATGGTCTCATATTAATTGTATCTCTATGGGATTGATTTTGAGGCGTCATTCTCTAAACCTATCTCTAAAATTAAAATTTTAATTTGACATCACAGGAAAATCTTCATTGTAATCTTAACTCATTTGTAATATTAGTTTATGATAGGCCGTAAAACAGTAATTTTACAAAAATACCAAATTAAAATATAAGTGTATTAAAATTTAGGTTTAAAAAAATGGCACTTCAGAATCGGCCCCAAGGAAGTTTTTTTTGTAGAACAAAATATAGGCACAGTACAGTTACGATATTTATACTTATACAAACCTTGTCCGGTCATAAGTTCGGTTACAAATGAAAATGCATTTTTTATGAAGTAATATAGTATTAAAAAAATATTATACCTACATATTTATTAAATCCTCAAGAAAAAATAAAAAAATATTCTATTCGAAATGGCCACCTTTGGCTTTTATACAGGCTTTTAATCTGTGACCACGAATCTTTGGATGTGCGCACTGTTTCCAAGGGAAATTTCGCCACTGCTTGCTCTAAAGATTTTTTAAGAGCCTCAATGTCGCTGTGTCGTTTAGAGCAGGCCATGTCCTCTAAAACTCACTATAATTTAAAGTTTAAAGGGTTGAGGTCTGGGTTAGATAAGGGCCAGTCTTCAGCTCTTATAAAGTCTGGAACTTTAGTTTCAAGCCAGGCTTGGGTAGTTCGTGCCTTGTGACCAGGTGCAGAGTCCTACTGGAAAGTCCACGGTAAATTTTTAAAAAATATATGGCTGAGAGGTTTTACAACACGATCAAAGACTGTATCTTGATACATTTTAGCTGAAGTTTTCACTCCTTTTTCACAAAAATGTAGTTTTATGACTCCTTAATAAGACGCATTCCGCCAAACCATCACTGACCACGTTGTACCTTTCTAACCACTTGAGCAGCTCCTTTTGAACTGTGAGCGTACACTTTATCATTTTGCTTATTATAGTGTTCTTCAATCGTGAAAATTTTTTCAACGGTAAAGAGGATATTTCTGTGCCTTTCACCTGCGTATCGCGATAGATGTTGTTTTGATCGATAAAATATATGAAATGACACGAAATCGAAAGAAGTTTTTAAAATAATAAAAATGTTCCAAATTCAAAATAATTAAAAGGTTGAAAAAAAAAAGTTTTTATGTAACAGTATTTATCGTCAGACTAGTTTGAAGTCAAATATATACATACGTGAAGACTCTTGTAATGTACCTATCGACAACGTTGAAATTAACGATATTGTGTATGTGCACAGAAAATTACAAACGTAATGTTTGTAACCCAACGTACATGTATGTGATACATGAAGCTTCTCTGTAATCTCACGTGTTATACTGTGACGATCCGAATCGATTATTGCTTTGATTAGGACGTCATCAACTTCAATTGGACGACCAGAACGTCGTCGAATTTTCGATTACCAGAACGAAATTTTGCAAACCAATTTTGACACTGCCGTTCTTTTAAGGCTTCGTCACCATAAACAGCACATAACTTTTTATGAGCTTGCGATGCGTTTTTCCTTTTGCGGAAATAAAAAAGCAAAATATGACGAAAATGTTCCTTTTGATTTTTCATTTTTCAACGAAGGCCAACAAAAACTACGCAGCCGATCAAAAAACTTTTTTTACTTATTGACAGCTGAATTGCCAACTATCAAATAACAAAATGTGTTTTGTTATTTGATAGTTTGTACTACATCTGCAAACCTAAAAATTCAACTGAAGCCATCTATGAGTGAAATCCGCAATTACTTAGTTGGCAACCCAATATTTACGATATGCCTGGCAGGAATATTGGAGAAAAACCAGTAGTAAGAGAAGGAAGATTTAATTATCACACAACCCGATATTCCTTTTAAACCATGGTTCTGTAAATTAAAGCTTAGAAAAACCGCGACTTCCATTTTAACTACAAAGTTAGTCGTGTACTTACGGTGCTGAAATGGCAGACTTGACATTTTCGACTGTCTTTTTTTTTGTTACACTATGTTTAAAAACCTGTTGATATGTCCGGGCTTTAAAATCCGGGGTTTCCCGATTGCCAAAATTTTAAAGACGGCAACCCTAATTTTGTGACACTTGGAACATACCGAAAATCGATACAATTTTATGATAGGGTAAAATTCTGGAAATCGTATTGATTGAAAAAAAAATTTTCCCATTTAGAGAAAAATTTAAATTAACCTCTGGCAACTCTGATTTCAAGACAAGTATATGATGGCCAAAAGATACGCTTCCAAGCCGATATAAAAAAATATTTCTCTTAATTTTCGCTATGTATACTTACAGCTACCTTTTTAGTAAATTTTAATTCAAACTGTTTTTCTACAAATAATAATATGGTTTATTTACATTTTCCTTCTAATTTGACTGAGGAAGAGTTAATGCTCCAAGCAAAATATCAGAAGTTAAAAAAGAAAAAAAAAGCACTACAGGCACTAAAAGCACCTAAACAAGAGCCCGAGAAACCTATATTACCAAAACGACCTACAGAAGCTCGCGATGCACGTGAAATAGCGCGTAAATTAATCAAAAGTGGAGCAATACAAGCAATAAAGAGCCCTCCTCCACAGCCTCAAAATGCTACCTTTAAAAGACCACGAGCAGGTTAATTTCATTAATATTTTTTTTAATAAAAATAATAATTTCCATTATTACATTTAACGTTGATAAATTAAAACATTTTTTATTTTCTACAAAGGTATAATATTTGGTCATAAGGATAGATAAGGTGTTATAATATTGTTATGAAATTTCAAATAGATTTCCTAGGCCTTAAATATTTGCGTTATGAAGCAGCAATTACTATAAGTGTCACAGTAAATTTGCGAAAATAGAGATTAAATAGCAATTACTTTGCTTAGGCAGATGATTTAGAAACTTCTAGCCCATACAATGTCATCATGGTACCTGTGTTATATGTATAAGCTTGCAATTGTAAAAAAACTGTTATATGGTTTAATAATAAGGCATATTTTCAATACAAATTCAACTAATATTTTGTCCAATAACAATAATCATAGAAGATTAAATTATTACTAAAATACTAAGTAAAATGTTCAAACTGTTTTTTTTTCCTCATATTATTTTACCTCCTGTATATATATATATATAGCTCTCGAGCTGATCTCAGGTTGTGAAATTGTTAGTTATAAAAAAACTGTAGGTACATATTGCTCTGCAACAGAACATATATAAATAATAAATAAAAGATACATACTTTAATGCCCCTATTACATATATTTTAATATTATTTTACTTTGCATAAGTTTTGCTTTTAACTTTTGTTTTATATCTATTCAACACCTTTAAATGAGAAGGAAGGGATTGTTAGTAATGTGGACTATCAGTCCCATTGCTAGCAAATTACACTGTCAGATTGATCTGAACATGGGGTACCATGTGGAGGTCAATCTGAGGTATCCTGAAAATAATCATGATGATTTCCTGGCATATTCTTCATGGTGACCTAACCGATCTGCCTTTTCATTTCACCTATCATCCTTCACTTGTGCCCTGCTGTTATACTGTTAGCGCAAGTGGAATAACCATTCCATTGTCATCCATTAAAAAAACACCTTTAAATAGATTAACAAAACTAAAAAGACTCAAAATGAGATAAAGAAATTGGACTAATTCATTGCTAAAATGACAGACTTCTGCCCCCAACTTTTTGCACACAAAGTTTTGTTATAGAAACTTAATAATTCTTTTATGTAATATTTGTGCATTTACAGGTAGAGAAAGAAAACTGAGTGGGTCAGCAGGAGGAGCTGGAGGAGTAGCCTCGTACCAACCCTTTAGTGCCTCACAGGAACCTCCACCCCCAGAAGAAAAAGCTGCTCCTCGAGTCAAATATTTGTATGACTCTTTTGTCACAGCCCGTGATAAGTAAGTACCTGCTTAATTGTGAACAAATTAATTTAATTCACCATGGAATTACCACCTGAGCCTGAGCATTAAATTAGAAAACCCTATATTAGAAAATACAGGGTTTTCTAATTTAATGCACTCGAACATATAACTTAGATATACAGATTATAAATTAGATATAGAGGCCATAAAATAAATGGATCACAATAAAACTTTCATTTCTAAACTGGTTCCAATCATTTTTATTAATGTCGACATTAAACAACTACTTTAATTAAACTGAATACAAGAATTAAAATATTGTAATGAGCATTGTAATTCTATCTGATCATTATATGATAGCCAAATCTTTTGTTGATTATTATTGAAAATAATTCCATTATGTTTCACAGATTAATAGTTTTGTTAAAAGTCTTTATCACTTTGAGAGAATTAATTATAATCACAACATTAAATACATCATTTCGCTGTTGTAAGGTGGAATACTAAAATATATATTACTGTTATTAACAGTAATATATATTTTAGTAGTCCAACTTACTTCTTATTGTATCCTAAATATATTAAGTACTCATTTTTCCATTTTGAGTAACAAACTTCTATCTAAATCTCCATAAAAATTCATTCTACACTCATTTTATCAATTATTTATTTTCATAATTATGTATATCCATATATCCCTTAACATTGGTTTTCTATTTATAAACTATACTATATATATATATATATATATATATATTGCAGAGAAGAGAAGACACCTCGGATTCACGGAGGAGGTGATACTCCTGCAACAGGTGGTGGTAGAAGTTCTACACTACTTGTAACGGGTGCTCGCATTACTGAAGAGGCAATTAGACGTCTTTTAACAACATATGAACCATTCACATATATACAGGAACCAGATGATGATAAGTATGTATTTTATGTAACTCTTATAAATTATTTATAGTTTGATTATAGCAAAATAATTTCAATCTATATGAATTATTAATTTTCTAGTTATTCTTTAAAATTTAAATATTACCTTTTTATATGAACATAAGTAATGTTCTTATATAAAGGTAATATTTAAAAATATAAAAGGAAAATAGGTTTTCGCTTTTTTAAATAAAATTTATTTAAAAACTAGGTGTTGCATGGAAATATGTGATTTTCAAAGTAAGGAATATGAAGTTTCAGTCTGTTAATCCAGTGTTTTATTTATATAGACTTCAATGTGGTTGTGAATTAGAATAACGAAAATTTATTTCTTGCACATTATTAGTGGTTCATTATTGTACCTAGAAAAATATATATCAATTTTTTTAGTGTATATATCTGACGGGTGTAATTTTCAAAAACTTTAAAATACATGTTTACCAGTTCTATCAAGAGACACAAATAGTAAATTTTAAACAAATCAAACTATTTTTTTATAACTGATCTATCTACTAACAATAACTTCAGAAATGTTTATACTGGTAAAACTTATTTATGTAAAGCACTTTACACATATACTATGTAGATAGTATACTGGCCTAACATATATGCCTTATTTATTTTCAGGGTATTCTTAACATTTGATTCTGTTGAAATTGCAAGCCATGCACAAACAGCACTAGAAGGATGTGAAGAAGGCTGGCGAGTGACAAATTCTCGAAGGCCGCCAACAACAGGTGCGTGGGCGCCCGCAGCATCGCCACGAAATCCACCTCCGCCGAAAGATGCGAAACGTTCTTTAATAACATATGATGATATATTTGAATAAAAAAATTAAATCTATTGATTAAATATTATTTATGTCCTTATTAATATTATAAATGTGAATGTGAGCTTGTTACCATTTAATACTTTAAGATTTTGACCAATCATAAAATTTGGCATACATGGGAGAAGAATATAAACTGCTTTTTATCTCGGTCACGCGAACGAAGTCGCGCGTAAAAGCTAGTACTATTATATTTTTTACAAAAGACCATAGTAAATAATGATAATAACTTGTTATGGACATATTAAACAGCATTTTTTAGTCCCAGATTAACTACACTAGTTATGTATACTGAACAGTTGACAAAATATGTAAATACATAAATTATATAGATTAAAATGTTCAAACTAATGCAAATCATGATATTCAAATACAAGTTTGTATTGTTCAAGGATTGAAAACTCGTGATTATAGTAAAGTGAGATAGTATGTTGAACCGCTACATCACCAAAACTTACAAATGACACTGTATTATCCAAAAGATTTTAGCCAGTAAACTTAAGTATTGCTCCAGTAGTGTGTTATAAGAATCAATAAGTTTGCCTCCAAAAACATTACATCGTCTATAATAGATGATTTGGTACTGTTTAGCATCCCTTTATATCAATCAGTTTAGAAATACAGTGAGATAAAAAAAAGAGCGCAAATTTTTTAAAAATCCATTAAATAGCAAAATTATTATCGTTCTCTTATTTCTAGAATGAAGACAATTCTTTTTTAAACATACATTAAAATTTTAGTAACACCAAAATCCCTACCGTTCCTTTTTAATATCCCATCATGTTTCCTGTTTGTTAATGGCGTAATGGGAACCCCAGCCTTTTGCCAAAATCATAAAAAAAATGTACAAAATGTAACCACATTGCATATAGGCGGAAAGGGACATATTGATAATAATGGAAGCATTAATCTTCTTTGCTAGCAATATACTGTCAGGTCGACCTACACGAAATTCCCCTTATGGAAAAAATCGCTAAAAAAACTGAACTCTTATTTAAAAAAAAACCAAACATCTTATTAAGTTCGAAAAATTCTTTACATGATATAAGAAGTCAGACTAATTGCAAAATTTCAGACTCTTCCAATAAAAATTTTTCAGTAAAAATCAGCAGCAGGTATCAATTTTTGTTTGATGGGTGAAAATGGTATGGTAACCCCGCCTGCGCTAACGGGATACGCTAGCTGAGCATCAGTGAAGGGTGATAGATGAGAATGAAAACAGGCCAGTTATCCCATCATAATGAATTCATCAGGAATTAACCATGATAGTTTCTAAGGAGAACCGCGAGGAGGTCGACCTGGTTGGGTATATTGCTAGCAATGGGATTCTCAGCCTCCATTACTAACAAGCCCTTTCCCCCTGCAGGTATCAATTGGAACCATTCTTCAGCGTACTCCCCATGATAAATTCGGAAGAAAATGAACAGAGATGCTACATCTCTAGGCAGTTCTAGTGGGTCAAGTCAGATAGTAAGACATTGATCTTTAATAATTCGAGCCGCCCGACTTCGAATGCAGCCTAACAGATGGAGCTGATACCATGGCGTACCTGCCCATATTTAAAGTGTATAAGTGTAATATTTAACTATTTATTTGAATAAGGATTAAAAAAATAACAATTAGAATTTAAACTTAAGATAAAATACAATTGAATGTTTTTACATTTAGTTAATTACAATTATTTAACTCATAATTTTCATTCCCATACGTAGGTAATTACAAAAACCTGCATAAATTTAAAATAGCCCCCACTTTAATAATTTCTAACACAAATATAATGTTTTAAATCTAAAAAGATGATGAGATATTCGTATTCAAATAAATTGGTTAAGTAAAGAAAATTCAAAATGGCCGTAGCTTTTAATGATATTATCTGTCCATATTTATAGTACACATACATGGATTTTCAAACTTCACTTCAAAATGATACAAATTTTAAAAGTATTATGGGAAATTTATAAAGTTCTACCGCATTCTTATTCTTTGTCGACGCATTATTCTTAATAAATAAATAAATAATATAATAAAATATATAAATAAATTTAAGGATTACTTAAAATATTAGAATTTTAAGTTACAACCTATTTTTCACATATTTACCTTGATCTAAAGTTATAATTTCTAATCTGGTAACCCTGCTATGTACACAATTCTGTAAAAAGTTGACCGGTTTTTTTTAAGCATTTGTATGGAGATACCCTATCTCTATATAATCTAGGAACGAAACATTATCCATATCCTTTTGTATAAATATATATTGCATTTTTATGACATAACAAACACTGAATCCTTTAAATAAATTAATTTTTATGATGTTTTACAGCAAGCAGTGAACTGTTGTATGTCGTGTATATTGTAACAGTTTGTATAGGAGTATGCTAGTAATGAGGACTAGCAAGTCAGGTCGACCTCCACGTGGTCCCCTCTGGAAACTATCGTGTTGAATTCCTGATGGGATCGCGATGGGCTAACTAATCTTTTCATCTTATCTATTTCTGGTACCTCGCTAACGTATACAGTTACCGCAGGTCAGGTTAGTATTCATTGTGATCCAGTAAAAATACTTATATAACAATAATAAAAAAATATTGAAGAAAGATACATAAGTAGCAAGTACCTATGGGACAACGGGTGAGTATATACATATCAATGAAGATTCTTGGTTCCGTTCTCTTTTCCTACTATTCAGAGGGTGGTCTTTGCAAAATTCAAGAAAAACGGTCTTGTTTCATTGTCATTAGAGATATATTCCAGGTTGTTCTTTATATAGTCGAATCAATTATATCAAATGACTATCTCCTACCTTAAAAACAGTTGGTTGTGATTACCATTCAAAAAGGATAAAAGTATGTTCAGTAATGGTTAATCCAACATCTTCGAAAAATAAAAATAATAATTTATTTAGTTATTATTAGTATTTATTTTTTTGATGATGTTGCCGATGAGTGTTGAAATTTTACCAAAAATATAAAATTGATAACACTATTAACCATAAACAAAAATGATCCCGACATATTAATGATCGATACTAAAGATGATTTTAACGATTATTCTAGAAGCAGTATAGTGAAGAATAAATTAGTAGTTGATTAATTATCGGGTACATTCGAATAATTCGAATTGAATTACTCATATGAATATTTAGTAAGAGTATTAGTAAATTTGTATATCTCTAGTGGAAAAAAAGCGCGGGAAACGTTTAAAAAAGCGGGAGTGTTTTTTGATCTTCTTTAAATTAATTTTATTTTTAATTATATAAGGATTAGTCTTATTTATATATTGTGTATTAGATTGTATATATAATTGTATATTTTGTAGTAATAGTGTTTGTTGCTGTAAATATTGGTAAGTAAATTACCTATATTAATTAGACATTATGGATCCACCTATAGACCCTGGGGGGACAACCCCCCAGGTGTCTGCAAATATAACTATCCCATTTAATAATAGTTTTGATATATTGGGTGAATCTAGTATGGACACAGATGGTTCTAGCGTTGCAAGTTCTAAACGTAAGCGAGTACGTGGCGAACGTCGCATTTGCAAACATTGCAATAAAAAACGAAGGAGGCACACCAAAGGTCTCGAATCTAAAATTAAAGATAGTGATTGTCAATGTATTGAGGATGAGAATCAAACTCTAGTATCAATACCAGTTGTAAATAATACCGAGTCTGTTAAACCTGCTTCTCCACCCAGTACTTTAAGCAGAACTTTGTACAATGCCGAGGATGTAGCTCCTTATGTCGTTCATGTACAAAAAAATGAAACACATCCTAATGATAACACTACATTACATCCTATTGCATTTGGTCGCTTTTTACACACTAATAAGATAAATAATATAGTGAATGGTAGCCTCAAAAGAATAGGAAGAAACCGTTTATCGCTTTCTTTCTCAAATTTTGAAAATGCAAATGCATTTTTAAATAATAGTCACTTAGAAACACATAATTTTAAGGCATTTATACCTTCTTTCCATGTAACCCGTATGGGAATTGTGAGGGGTATTCCTAAAGATTGGACAGAAGAGGAAGTAATCCAAAATATATCAGTACCTATAGGTTGTGGGAGAATTCTAAAAACCAGAAGAATTAAGAAAAAGACCATTAATGAAGGACAACCAAGTTTTATTAATACTGAAACCATTGTTATTACTTTTGATGGACAAATATTACCAAAAAGAGTATTTATGTTTTACACATCATTAACTGTAGATTTGTACATTTACCCCACTATCCAATGCTATAACTGCTGTAGGTTCGGACATGTCAAGATGCAGTGTCGTTCAAATCCTCGGTGTTATAAATGCAGGCAAAATCATACAGGTGATAAATGTGAAGTAGATGAGGAAAATGTTTCTTGTATCTTGTGTAATGGTTCTCATTCAGCAATTAGTAAGAAATGTCCTGAATATGCACGTCAGAAAGCCATTAAAGAAACAATGGCCCACAGTTGTGTTTCTTATGCTGAAGCATCAAAATTTCATCCTCCCACTTCTAAACTATATTCAGATGTATTAACATCATCATCTCCATCCAATAAATCTCATTTTCAATCTTCTTTCCTCAAAGAGAAATCATCATTACCACATATTCAATCATCATATAAAAAAACAGTTACACTTAAACCACGCACTCCTCAAAAAGCACAACAAGGATATGATCGTTCTGCCCATGAAGCCTTAGTTAAGGAATATAATATTCCTGCTCCCTCTAATGGTTGTGCATTATCATCAAATAATATTGACAATAATCAATCCATCTTTGATATTATTCTCATGCTTATTAAAGTGTTATCGCAATCGAAAATGATACAAACAACTTTACCACCGTCCAACGATGCCATTTACAATGTATTTTCTCAATTATTAACTTCTCACAATGGATTACAAAGTCCTAATAATTCAGTGGAACTGTCGTAGCATAACAAACAAGAAATCAGACTTATTTTATTTGATTAATAAATATAATCCTTTTATAATAGCTCTCCAAGAGACTTGGTTAAAGCCAGGATATCCTTTTAGGATTTCAGGCTTTACAAGTCTCCGTGATGATAGAGCTGACGGATATGGCGGTGTTGCCATATTGGTCAAAAACTCCCTTCCTTTTTCTTCTTTTTCGCTTCCTGTATATAGCGGCATTAATGCAGCTGCTATAATTATAAATGGTATCTGTTTTGTTACTTTATATATTCCTGATCCTACATGCCAAATATATTCACAACTAGAACAATTATTTTCAATTTTACCTAAACCTTTTCTCGTAATGGGCGATTTTAATGCTCAACACCAATCGTGGGGCAGTTCTACTTCTAATTTTTATGGTGGAAAACTCCTGACGATAATTGACACTTACAACTTATGTATTATTAACTCAGATGTACCAACACGTAGAACTGCACCGAATGAAGGGTTTAGTGCTCCTGACATTTCAATATGTTCTTCTGATTTAGCTTCTTCACTGTCGTGGTATCCTCATTCCTCTACTTTCGGAAGCGATCACTTTCCCCTCATTCTTTCTTTTCCAATTTCCATTCCCTCAAGTCGAAAGAGTGGTCCTCGGCTTAAATATAATTTATCAAATGTAGACTGGAATATTTACAAACAATATTTAGATAATAAAATATCGGAGTTACCTATTGTTTACCATGGAAATGAACATCAATGTTGTAATGACTTGATGATAAATATGAAGGAGGTTGCTGATTTATTATTTCCTGTTAAAAATAGTGCTTCAGGGAAAATTCCCTCGCCACCTTGGTGGGACAAAGATTGTACGGAAGCAATTAAAAATCGTAAAGAGGCTGAAAAAAATTATAATAATTACATGACACCAGAAAATTTTGAAATTTACACCGCAGTTTCACGTTCTACTCGAAAACTACTGAAAAAAAAGAAATTAGAAGGCTGGAGAAGATTTTGTTCTTCTATCTGTCCAGAAGTTAATTCATCAGTCGTTTGGAATAATATTAAAAGATTCAGATCTGCCTTTAGTGATCATACATCACGTTCTGCACTCGATTTAACTTTAGCGAATAAATTTTTAGATCGTCTTGCTCCTAGTTATGTGCCGGAATGCCTTTACAATATTTCTCTATCCGTCTCTGACGAATTATTCGAACTTGACTCTCCTTTTACTCTAGTAGAACTTAAAGGTGTTCTAGCTTCTATTAAAGACTCTGCACCGGGAGAAGACAGTATACCGTATTCCTTTTTTAAAAATGCTAGCGATGCGACATTAATTTACTTTTTAAATATAATTAATTCCATAATTATTTCGGGAAATATACCTACTTCATGGAAGTCTCAGATTATTATACCATTTCTAAAGCCTCATAAACCACCTTCTGAACCATCTTCATACCGTCCTGTTGCACTTTCCTCTGTCTTACTAAAGCTAGCTGAACATTTAGTGAAAAACCGTCTAGAATGGTTTTTAGAAAGTAATAACTTACTATCCCCGAACCAGTTTGGTTTTAGGAAAGGTAAGAGCACCTTAGATAATGTGAGCATTCTTATTTCAGATATTCATATAGCTTTCTCACAAAATTTGTCAATCCTCTCAGCCTTTTTAGATATAAATTCTGCCTATGATAATGTAATAATTTCTATTTTAAAAACTAAATTACAAGCTCTAAATGTACCGGTAATGCTTTCTAATTTCATTATTAATATTTTATCAGAAAGAACAATATATATGAATTTAGATGAAGATACCAAATTATCTAGAACAGTATGGAAAGGCCTTCCACAAGGATCTGTTCTCAGTCCAATCTTATTTAACATATACACATACGATCTAGAATTATTCCTTGATAAATCCGTCAAAATTTTACAATATGCTGATGATCTTTTATTATATTTTATTGCGAAGTCCATAGAATCTGCTTCTGCCAAATTATCTGATTCATTAGATTTGTTAAAAACGTGGTTAGATGCAAATGGTCTTAATCTTTCTGTAACCAAGAGTAGTGTAGTTTTGTTTTCAAGAATGAGATCACCGCAACAAATTAAGGTGATTTATGATAACTCATACATTCCTATAAAGACTGAAATTAAATTTTTAGGTATCGTACTAGATAATAAATTAACAGGTCTGTCCCACTGTAATTATATTTCTACGAAATGTGAGCGTAACCTCAACATTCTTAGGTGCCTTGCTGGAGTTTGGTGGGGAGCACATCCCGTTTCACTAAAACTTGCTTATAATGGTCTTATAAGGAGTGTCATTGATTATGGAACTTTTTTGTTAGCTCCAGGAAGTTCATTTGCTTTTAAGAAATTGGATTTAATTCAATCAAAGGCCTTGAGGATTATCTCTGGAGCAATGAAATCAAGTCCAATCAATGCTTTACAGCTCGAAATCGGTGATCCACCTTTGGTTTTAAGAAGACAATATCTATCTGATCGCTTCTTTTTTCGTTGTTTACAATTATCTGATCATCCGCTTATTCAAAAGTTATCTCAACTACATATCTTTATTTCGTCTTCATCTTATTGGAAACATAAAAAACCTCCATGTTTAATACAAAGTTATGAAAAATATAAATCCATAGAATCTCCCACTTTTACATCGTCCTGTTTTCCCATTTATAAATGCTCATATCAATCTTTAGTTTTATCTCCTAATATTAAATATGATTTTGGGTTATTAAAAAATGATTCAGAATTGAATGCCAAATTTATGTTTATAACTGACATTGAATGGAATGAATGGCACTACATCTTTACTGATGCATCAAAACCAGACAATAGCGGTTGTGTAGGTGTGGGTGTGTTTCATTCACAATTTAATATCGTTCAAAAAATTAAACTTCCACCGGAGTCTTCAGTTTTTACCGGGGAATGTTATGGTATTTTAAAAGCTGTAGAATATATACTTTTAATGAAATTACATAAGGCAATAGTTTTCACTGACTCTATGAGCTCTTTGCAAGCTCTAGCCAAATATCCGTTTAAATCAAAACCAGTTTATCCCATTATTTGTGACATAAGACAAAGTCTTTATCTTTGCATGTTGAGAGGTTATTCCGTTTCTTTTGCCTGGTTACCGGGACACAGTGGTATTAGCGGCAATGACAAAGCTGACCTTATTGCAAGAGAGGCTGTAACTTGTGGTGATATGTATCCGTATCATAATTACTGTAGTGACCTAGCTTGTCTCCCAAAAATATATTTAAGGTATGCCTGGAAGGAATATTGGGAAAAAACAAGTACAATAAAAGGAAGATTTTATCGCCTTATACAACCCGATATTCCTTTCAAACCATGGTTTTGTAAATTAAAGCTTGGAAAGACCGCAACAACTATTATAACTCGTATGCGTCTAGGTCACGTATGCACACCTTCTCATTTATACAAGCTTGGTATTGTACAAAGTTCGTCGTGTAATTGCGGTGCTGAAGTGGCAGACTTGAATCATATATTCTTCTCATGTTCTAAATTTGACCACACCTCCCTTTTTAATCATCTCCGATCCATCCGTGTTCCATTCCCAACTTCTATTCTTACTCTACTTTCTTCCAATGATCCTATTATCTATAAAATACTATCTTCATATATATATGATAACAATATTAAGATTTAGTTATATTACATGAATACATTTATAGTTGCATCAATTGCTTTTCCTATATATTTATAAGTATATTCTCATATGTACAAGTATATCCTTCATATCCTATAAATATCCTAGACCTAATCCTTATCCTTTCTAAATTCGTTTGTGTTAGATATTTTTATTACTATTATCGTTTCCCCGTTTTGTTCTTGGCAAAATACCCTAATATCGGGGTGAACGCCACAAAAAAGAAAAAAAAAAAAAAAAAAAAAAAAAAAATATATCTCTAGTGTCAGTCTACCATTCATTTCACGTCATTCAATTCTTTGTGTGCATTTTAGAAACAGTAAATTCTAATTTCAAGTTTAAAGAAATTTTATAAAAATTATAAAATGTTTTCTCTATCAAAAAATATGTTCCCTATACTCTTTAAAAATTATCCAAGAAAAGTATCTCTAAAAGATTATATTAGTGTATTAACGTTAGAATGCCAAAAATTGTACTCAAATAAAGGTAAACAGCACCGGTTTTTATGTACATAGATTTTATGATGCAATAAATGCAATCTTCTATCCAACACTTTAATAACTTGTTAATTTCATTTCTAAATACCGCTAGGTAATTCTGTTTGAAATGAAGATGATTCTTTAAAATAAAATATTTACTTACAAAGTATCTGGATCAAATCCAGTATAAATTCTAAATTCTGATGTATATTAACCTAAAAATTAAAATTTAAGGCTAAAGAAACAGTCTATCATCATTATTTCTAAATAGTAATTATGTTACTTTATTCATACTAATAAACTTTGCTATTATATTTATTCTAGGGGTATCCTGACCTTTATTTGTATTGTAAAATTCTTAATACTTAATAGACATATTTCCAATATTATAAGATATTATTAATAAGGTAGTGTTTACCATTATTAGTAACAAAATATTAAAATGTACTTTACACATATTTTATATATGCAGCATAAATTAAAAATTGTTTTCACAACAGTTGTTAAAAGATACAAAATAAAATACACATTCAACTATCACATTTTTAAATAACTACAATCTGAATTTAACTGATAATATTATTATTTATTGTAGATTTTTTCTTTTTTATGCTACTTAGAATAGCAAATAGGCTGACTGTCCATCTGATAGAAAGTGGTAACTGTTGCCTATAGATGTAGGCAGTATCATGGACATAACAGAGTATACTATTTCGCCCATGATACCTCCCATGTGTTGCCATTCCTGAGGACTCACACGTTATTCCTCTGTACCCTGTAAATTCACTACCATATCCCACCCTTCAAAACGATGGGGGGAAGGAATTGTAAGTAATAGGGAGGGTAGTCCCCATTACTATCAATATACCCTATTAGGTTGACCTCTGCGCTATTCCCCCTGGAAACTATTGTGACTTGAATTCCTCATGATGGGCTTACTGACCTGACTTTTCATCTTCACCTATTATCCCTCACTGGTGCTCCACCAGTGTATTCCGAAAGTGCAGGCGGAGTTACCATACCATTTTCACCTATTTCACCAACCATTCAAACCGAAACACAGCCATGCAAACACAACTGCTTCACATTAGAAACATGAATGGGACAGAGGTGTCCAAGCAAACAACTTTTGTATAAAGTCTCCCTCTGGTAAAATGTGGATATGATGTGTGGATTTTTTTTAATATATTATATCTTCTAATGACTTCTTAAATTTATATAAAAAATTTATTTAGAAAATAATTAAATTATTTCAGTTGATGAAAAATTTGCATTAAACCATGAAGATTTTGGTAGACCGCTTTATTTTGACGCTCAGGCTACAACACCTGTGGTAAGCCATTTTGTTGAAGTAAATAATGAGTTATTATATAAATATTGTTTTATTTTTTATTTTAAAGTCAATAGTTTCAATAAAATTACTATCACTTACTTTCAATGTGATGCCGATGATAATTTTTGAATTTTATCTTTAATAAGTTCTTCAACAGTCATTTTGCTAAAGAATTCTGATTATGAGGTTTTGATATCCTTTACAAAAGATATAATAAGAATTCTCATATAGTGGGAATGAAATGTAACCCACACAAGTACAGCTGCAGGCATCACCTAATATGTTAAAATATAATGTATATAGTACATATAACTTTTTCTACATACAGCAACACCACGTCAAAATATTTTGAAATGTTCAAATAAGCCTGAGCTAAGGAAACATAATATTTGTTTAATTTTGATAATTAGGATGCTCATGTTATTTAATTAAATATAATAAATTACTGTATTCACAGGACCCAAGAGTACTCGATGCTATGCTGCCATATCTTGTCAGTTACCATGGCAATCCACACTCCCGAACACATGCTTATGGTTGGGAAAGTGAAAGTGCTGTAGAAAAAGCGAGAGAGCAAGTTGCTCAATTAATAGGAGCAGATCCAAAAGAGATTATTTTCACTTCAGGCGCAACTGAATCAAATAATATATCTATTAAAGGTGTTGCGCGGTTTTATGCACCAAGGAAGAAGCACATTGTTACCACACAAATTGTAAGAATTATATAAAACTAACTATATAGAAATACCTATAACTTCATCTGCATACAATTTTTGATGATGTACCCAGTCCCCATAGACTTCAAGCTATTTTTTTTTAATAAAATTGGATTTCTGTTTTTCTTTCTAAATATCACATCCTATATGAAACTGTCTGATGATGGTAGCAATTGTACCTATAATTTAATCAAGAGTGATACCAAGGCAGGAATAGAACTATATAATAATATATTTCTAAGAGTTTTGTTAGTTTGTCCACATCAAAAATAATACAAACTAAAAAAGACATTAAAAAAAGTTACATTGGAAACCAATACTATTAACTGCTGGGCCCTCATTAATAAATATTTTCTTAATTGTTTTTTTAATTATTTATGACTAAATATAACATATTTATTTGATAATTATGAGGAAGTATAGTACTGGTAAGCTACCTAATATAGTTTTAATTCTTAACATCATCATTGGACTCCAATCCTGCTTAAACTTTTTTGCTAATCTGTTTGACAAATATAATAATTAGGTAGTCAATATTATAATTAGGTATATAGTAATTACATATTCTACATTAAAAATCTTGTTTATATATCTTATAGGAACATAAATGTGTATTGGATTCATGTCGTGCCTTAGAAGGAGAAGGGTTTAAAGTTACCTATCTACCTGTGGAACAAAATGGGATTATTAAACTGAATGAATTAGAAAATGCACTTACACCAGAAACGAGTTTGGTATCAATTATGACCATCAACAATGAAATAGGTATACTTTAACTATTTTTAATTAATATATACTGTTATGGTCTTAAACATAAGCTGACCTTGCAAAGTATAATATTTGTCTGTTAATAATAATTTTATTTTACACTTATCATTATGCGAAAATTAGTAAAAATGTTGACTTATTTGTTACTCAATCATATTTAAATAGCTGAAATGAAATTGAATGTAATATTGTGCACATTTACAACACCTCTGAGATTATCATATGATACTTTGTAATCTAATTCATGGACAGAAGTAGTTTTCTTCTGGACAAAGTACAACACAGAATTATATATTATGTATCCATGGCTATGGCAGTAATAATGTAATAAAGTAATAATGGAGAATTTTGTTTTCCTGTGACAAAACCTCCTGTTTCTCTTATCTGTACATACTTTAAAATACATAATGACAGTAAAAATGTTACATTTTCTTAAGTACAGAGTGTTCATTTATTCTATATGCAACATTTATTATTTTATATGCTACTTGTTTCTCGACTCAAGTTCTATTAATCTAGTGGAAATTAATACTTTTTAGGTGTGAAACAACCCATTGCCGATATTGGAGCGATATGTAAAAGTAAAAAAGTATTCTTTCACACTGATGCTGCACAAGCAGTGGGAAAAATTCCTATAGATGTAAATAAAATGAACATAGATTTAATGTCAATTTCTGGTCACAAAGTTTATGGTCCCAAGGGCATTGGAGCTTTATATATTAGACGTAGACCGAGAGTTAGGATTGAACCTATACAAAGTGGTGGTGGACAAGAAAGAGGAATGAGGAGTGGTACAGTACCAACACCACTAGCTGTTGGATTAGGTGAGTCATAATTAATATTATCTGAAAGACATCTATCTCATATTTTTCACTAATCAATATTTTTATTCTACTTATAATGTTGTTGCCAGTAAGTATATCTTTAGTGTTGCAGTAATGAAGTGTTAATCGAGTTTATTTTAGCGGTATTTTGGTACTCTCTTATTTCTAATTTTAACACAAAATTAAGTGAAAGAATTTCAGGCTCTTATGAAAATAGTTGACTATAAAAAAATTAACAAACGTATGAGCATTGGTTTTAGGTTGGTTGAGCATAGTAGTAAGCGCATGCTATTCCTTAGATATCTACAGGGGGGAATTTACTAGGCAGCTGCTCATGGGTATAAATAGAGTTCCATAATTGTCTCGTCTATTTAATTCCCCACCAAGGATGTTGGTAGAGTCTGAATCCGTGAATTCTGTTTGCTAAATTCCCGAACTACTAACTCATACTTAAGTATTATATATTGTTTGTGTCGCATGGGTTGTTTTATTTCACCATATAAGTAGAACTAAATACTATATGTTTAATAGATATATAAAAAAAGTGGCAAACAAGCATACAACCCATCTGATGGTGAATGTTCAGGTTTGTATACCCAACCTTAAAGAAATACGTGCTTTTTGAAGAACCCCATACTGTTTCTCTAAGGAAATGGCAGGGAGCTCATTTCACAACTTGAGTGTTTGCTGAAAAAACTCCTCTACGCAACTATTATAAATAAATTAATTGACAATTATTCTATTTACTGTATAATCACAATTACTCAAATTGTTTCTAAAACCAGGTGCAGCTTGCGAAATAGCGGATCGTGAAATGGCCTATGACCATGCTTGGATGGAGAAATTGTCTCAAAGATTTTTGGATAAAATTAATTCCAAACTATCACATGTTATAAGAAATGGAGATCCAAAGGAATCTTATCCAGGCTGTGTAAATTTGTCATTTGCTTTTGTAGAAGGTATACATTTGATAATTTTTTTTTTTTCTGTTGGGTACATTTTAATAACAAAAGTATTTTTATACAATCCCTGATCAAAAAATCAAATATTACCATTGTACAAAATCCAACACTCAGACTTTTATGACTCTACCAATCGTCATATAATTTTACATGAAGAAAGCCACAGGCTGTATTTTGTTTTGATCAAATTGATTTTATTGTTCAAAGAGTACATTGCCTTTTTTATACCATAGTTGGTATGAATATAAAATTATTAATTACTTAGTTTACTAAACCGTCTATAAATTGAAAATTATATGGGGATACCTTAAAATTTTAAAACAGTGTTCAAAGTATTTTCATATAAATTTCACATTGTAAGATATATAAACTACAAAGTGTATGCAACCTTAAGTCATGAGTAGAAACTATTTTCTTATACTTAAGGTTACCTTTTAAAAAAAGTCTGTTAATTTTAGGTGAATCTTTATTAATGGCTTTAAAAGATGTAGCTTTGTCAAGTGGGTCAGCGTGTACATCAGCCTCACTGGAACCATCATATGTGTTAAGAGCAATTGGCACTGATGAGGACTTAGCACATAGTTCAATCAGGTACATTTTTAACCTAGTTGTTGTCTAGATAATGTCTGGATTATATGTATACATGAGATGAGCTAACAACCATGGTGCTTTCCTAAGTGCATAATATATATTATATCAATCAATTATATTAATGAACAAAAAAGTCGAAGCATAAATTGAAACAGAAAATAGGTACATCTTATTTTTATTTTTCAGGTTTGGTTTGGGAAGATTTACAACCGTTGAAGAAGTAGACTATACAGCCGAAAAAACCATCAGACATGTTGAGCGCCTTAGAGAAATGAGCCCATTGTGGGAAATGGTTCAGGAAGGTGTCGATATTAAAACAATACAATGGTCACAGCATTAAAATACATTATTAAAAAAAAAATAATCACAATATTCCCTCTTAGGAATACTATAAGATTAGGTCCGTTAAAGATCTGGAAAGTATAGATAATATAAATTATTCTTATATACCATGATTATTATGAACAGGATTTCATGAAATTTAATTTGACTTAATAATGCTATTCACATTAATTATTAATAAAAATAAAAAAAATTACACCTAAATACATTTTATATTATCAAAGACTTTGTTGCTATAAACTGTGACTATTGCTAATTTATAATTTTGATAATATTCTAAAGACCAAATATTAAAGTAGTATTAATAAAATATAAATCATAGATAAAGACTTTGTTGTACATTTGAAGCACACACCATTGTCATGAAAATTTAGTATCGAAATATCTTTAAATATTGTATATTTTTATTGCTTAAATATATTGTTTAATTAAACTGCTTTTTTAATGTCAATCTGTTATTTATTAATACCATCTACATTACAAACAGGGAGCACATACTCAAATAACATTACACTTTTGAAAAATTTTGGTAGTGAAAAATATTGAGGTTCATTCTAATCGATAATTATTAATTGGCAGATCTATTATAATATATAAGTTGATATAATATTCTCAACATTATTTAAAAGACTTGTATATATTATAACTAACATAGGACTTCATAGATCATTTCTACAAAGTAGAGAAAAATTTGCAAAAAAGAACAATATAAATACAAATAATAAATTGCATATGCATTCAGAAGATAGCCATTATTTTTCTAAATCCTTATGTTTCTTAGAATTTAAGGCATATAAATTATGAGGCAATGACATATTTATTAAACTAATGCACAGTAAAATTCTATATACATTTGGCAGATTTAACAATGGACAGTGTTCTCTACTAGTCAACCATTGGGCAAATAGATAAATAAGTAGATGGGCATATAAGACATATGGAAAGATAAGACAACATAATTTAAAGGATTCTATTTTTGTAATTTACCTATGCAACCTTATAAAAATGTGTTTAAAAAATAGTATGATGTTGATATTATAATTCAGTATCACAGACTGAACCACAACTACAGATTTCAGTATTTTCATTTAAAAACTTTTTGCTAGTAGTTGATTTTTTCATTTTATAATCTAGATATTTTTTATTGGTTGTTTAAATCCAGTATAGAAAAAATCTGTACAATTAAAAAAAACATAACAAAAAAACTTACTCTATCCAGCCACCAAATTAAAGCTTTGCTATGATTATTAAAGCTATAACATATTGTTTATAAATTTAATAAATTTTTGTTTATGTTATTGAATATAATAAAATCAAATTGTCATTGTCCTTGTAACTAGGTTCTTAATGATAAAAGTTATTCAAAACACTTATTCTAACACAAACTACCATAACACTCACAATTTTAGATATTAGAGCCAAACTGTACTATGTATTATGATATTTATTAAACAATAAATGTTAATCTGTCTCTAAAATAAGAAATTTTAAGCATATTTTAAAGACAGAGATCAATATTTATTAATCAGTTCCATCACTTACAGTAAATTTAAAAATATATTTGGAGCTCTTACATCTTACATCATCAGATAATTATTGAGAATAAATAATTTATATTATTAAAAGAAAATCAACAACTACATGATGGTTCTTCAAGAGGTTCTGGATTGGTTATCTTGAAACTGTTATGGTCTAATGTTTGCAGTTCTATTCTTGATCTATTTGTTTCAACTAGTTGCAATGCAATATCTGAAAACATTTCTTCCACTCCTTTGCCTGTTTTACATGATGTTTTATAAGTAGTGCTGATTAAATTATGGCACTGTTCACTGAAACAAAATTAACTGTTTAAAATTATGTGACTACCAGTTACACATTATAATTCTTAGAAATTGTTTATAAGTTGTTTCATGTTATGTAGTTATTATAATATGAATATTATAAGAATACGAAACACTATTCCCTTGTCACTTTAGGATAATATAGAATCTACTAAAGGAACTCAGCACAATGCACAAATCCAAGAGAAAAACTTAATATTTAGGCATATAATGCCTCTTAGCCAGTGTGATAATACCAGGCCCATATTCTCCATTTATGAGAGACCTACAACCAGCACTAGATTGTTAATGGTATAGTATATATTTGTTATTTGGTTGTATTTAGCAGCCTAAAGAGAAAAATTGATTCAAAATATTAAAAACATCTTATAATAGTCGGTTTGATTACTTAATATAATTACCAAAAATTTTCTATATCTGCATCCGTAACTTGAGGAGCTGAACCTTCTAAATCAGATTTATTTCCACATAAAAATATCTTAGCATTCTCTGCATAAGTGACTATATCTAATAAGTGTTGACTTAATACATGAAATGATGAGGCATTATCCAAAGAGAATACTAAAATAGCTGCTTCGGCAAATTTATAATAACTTGAAGTGACAGAAGCAATTCTTTCCATACCGCCTGTATCCCACAGCTGTAACTAAGATAATATTTTTCATTAATAAAAAAATAATTAAAAATATACGCAACATTAAAGTGCAGATTATTACCAACCTTGACATCCTTATCGCCAACTTGATATAATTTTTCAAAATGATCTAATCCTAATGTCGACCTTCTATCTGAATTAGGAAGGAAAGTGTTGTTAATAAAGCGACGGAATAAAGAACTTTTACCAACTCCGTATTCGCCACACAATATTACTTTAAGTACTGGGGTTTTTACTACAGCCATAATTCATACAAAATTGTAATTATACAGCATATATTATTGTTAGTACGATTAAATCAATTAGTATTTCATACAAAATGGGAATTTTTTTTTTTTTTTTTTTTCTTTTCTTATGGCACGGCACAAAGTGCATCCGCCAAAAACAAAGTTTGGGAAACAGCATTTTAGGGAAGGAGTTTTGAACGAAGGAATTTAGGATAAGGATCAGAAAAGTTGAATGATGGATAATATAATGAAAAGGACAGATATCTAAATAGAAATTACAATATATTTAACCTTAAAAATATATATGTATATGAAAAGTACATAAAATAAGATAATTTACAACTTAATATTATTGATAAGAATAAAAGATGAAATCAAATTATATACTTCTAAATTATCAAGAAACAATAATACTGGAACTGATGTAGGTAAGGGAATACGGAGGGAAAGGAGGGAATTAAAAAGAACAGAATGGTCATAGAGAGGACAATTTAAGAGAATGTGATTCAAATCACCCACATCTGTGCCACAATTGCATATATTATTATTCACAATTTTTGACTTAGCCAAATGAGAAGGGGAACTCACATGGCCAAGTCTCATTCTAATAAGAGAAGACGTACCACGTTTATTAATACTATTAATACGGTAAAACCATGGTTTACAAGGAATAATAGGCTGAATACTAAAGTAATGATGGGCCTTAACTTGACAGCTAATAAGCCAAGACTCATTCCAAGTATTTCGGAGAAAGGAGCCAGGCAAAGCCGCCAAGTCATGACTGAAGATTTTATAAGGAAAGATATCACCGCACCCAATAGCCTCATTAGCAAGTCTATCTGCGGTCATATTTCCATGAATACCAGAATGGCCTGGAATCCAAACGAAAGAGATCAAATACCCTCTACAAAGACACATCTGCAATAACCTTCTAATTTCTATAATTACCGGATGGATTTTATTTGATTTGAATGGAGACTGCAATAGTGATTGTAAAGCACTTAAGGAATCACTGATGATTACCGATTGTTTAAGTTTCATAGTCAGAACGTAATCAATGGCTTTGAACATACCAAAACATTCTCCTGTAAAAATAGATGTCTCAGGAGGAAGTTTAACTTTTTGAACTATATTGAATTGATTATGGTAAACTCCAACACCAACACATCCAGATGAGTCATGCTTAGATGCATCACAAAAAATATGATGGTGGTCTTTTTTATTGAAAAACATGTAAGAGTTAAAAATGACACTTGCATTGGGATCACCTTTAGTTATGTTAATATTTAATTCAACTTCTGGAGAGAGAGTTAATGCTTCATAGGTTGCACAGAAAAACGGGAACTTACGGTAACTATGAAGAGGAGAAAGAGAAGAAAATTTTTTAAAACTTTTTACCAGACAAGGAGTGGATTTATGACGCCAATAATCCATGTTTTCACAGTATTCAGTTAACATTTGTAATTTAGAAAAAAGTGGATGTTCAGAGTATTGAGATATACGGAATAAATATTTATCTGAAATAAATTGACGTCTCAGGTTTAAAGGAGGATCACAGCATTCAGCTTGAAGGGCATTTATTGGGCTCGATTTCATAGCTCCAGTAATAATTCTCAGCGCTTTAGATTGAATTAAATCTAATTTTCTTAACCCAGCCGCACTACACGGTTCTAAGAGAAAAGTACCATAATCTAAAATACTTCTAATAATGGCATTATAGATTAGTTTCAAAGAATATGGATGGGCACCCCACCAGACACCGGATAAACATCTTAATATATTTAGTAATTTTTCACACTTTAGAACAACTTTTTCAATATGAGGAAGTCCCGAAAGTTTTGAATCTAGAGTTAATCCCAAAAAGATAATTTGTGATTTAACTGGAATTAATTTATTATTAAAGTAAATTGTAATTGGAGGGGGCATTCGCATTCTGGAAAAATGAACTATAGAGCTTTTTGTTACGGACAACTCTAAACTATTTTTATCTAACCAAATTTTTAAACGCTCTAATGCTGCTGTAAGAATTGTACAGCATTTCTGAACAGAACTGTCAATGGCATAAAAAAGAAGGTCATCAGCATATTGTAAAATGTTAATTTTAAATTTAAAATCATTGAGTATTGAATTTTCTAAATCATGTGTATATATATTGTACAAAATGGGACTTAACACTGATCCTTGAGGAAGCCCCTTCCAAAGAACTCTTGAGTGTTTGACATCAATATTATTAATACTAATTGACCGTTCTGTTAAAATATTAATGATGAAATTAATTAAGATGGGTGAAATATTTAGAGCAATAAGTTTATTTTTCAGTAGAGATATGGAGACATTGTCATAAGCGGCTTTGATATCCAGAAAGGCTGCAACAATTGAATTATTTTCAGTGAAAGCTAAGCGGATATCAGTTGTCAGCAAACTTAAACTATCAAGCGTACTCTTCCCTTTTCTAAAACCATACTGACTATTAGATAGTAATTCATTATACTCAACGAACCATTCTAATCGGTTTTTTGTTAAATGTTCTGCCAATTTTATTAAAACTGAAGAAAGGGCTATAGGGCGATAAGATGCAGTATCTGAAGGAGGTTTGTCTGGTTTGAGAATTGCGATTATTTGTTGTGACTTCCATGATTTAGGGATATTACCAGATATCATAATAGAATTAATTAAATCTAAATAATAATTGAGGGAAAGATTGTCAAGATGGGTAAAGAAAGAGTATGGAATTCCATCCTCACCTGGAGCAGAATCTTTAACCTTAGATAATACTGCCTTAAATTCACCTAGAGTGAAAGGAGAACCAAGTGTTGTGTTATCTAACTGGGAAATATCTAAAGAGTTAATTAACAAACCTTTTTCTGGCACATAAGGAGGAGCCAGCCTATCTAAAAATGGTTCTATAAGTGAGGGCAGAAGAACATTTGACCTAGAATCTTTAAAAGCACTTCTAAACCTTCTAATATTACTCCAGACTTTTGAAGGGTTAACATTAGGAGAAATTGAAGAACAAAAATTTTGCCATCCTGCAAGTTTCTTATCTTTTAAGAGTTTACGAGCACTTTTAAGAATCTCAGAGTATTTGTTAAAATTATCCCATGTGGAGTTCAGATTGTATGCTCTCTCAGCCTCTTTTCTTTTTTTAACTGCCACTGTACAATCATTATCCCACCATGGTGGAGATGGGATCCCTTTTCTTGAGTTACCTATCTTAGGGAAAAATTGGTCTGCAGATTCTGTTAGTAATGCTATAAAAGCATCAGAGCACTCATTTTCATTATCTGTAGATATTACAGGAAGAGTAGGAATTTTATTTTTGATATAATTTAAATACAGGTCCCAGTCCACATTATTCAAATTATACTTCTTACTTGAAGTATAATTTGATGTTGGTTGTAATTTGAAAGGAAAAGTAATTAAAATAGGGAAGTGATCACTACCAAAGGATAGAGATAATGTGAGCCAAGTAAGAGAAGAAGCTAAATTAGGGGTACATATGGATAAATCAGGAGCACTGTTGCCTTCATTAGGCATTGAGCGACGGGTAGGACAACCAGTATTTAATATGCATAGGTTGAGAGAATCTATCAAATCTAAGATTTCATTGCCATAGCAATTACTATTAGAGCTACCCCAGGATTGGTGTTGAGCATTAAAGTCACCTAAAACTAAAAATGGTTTGGGAAGAGTAGAAATAATATTGTTAATTTCATTAAATATTAATAAGGATGGATGAGGAATGTATACAGAGACATAACAAATATTATCAACTTGAACAGCAATTAATGAGAAATTATTACTATGGTTTAAAATTGGAATATGGGTGAAGGATGAAGGATGTCTGACCAATATGGCCACACCACCATACCCATCAGATCTGTCCTCACGGAGACAGGCATAACCAGGTATCCTAAATGAAGATACGGGTTTTAACCATGTCTCCTGAAGAGCACATATAAGAGGTTTGTACATGTTTATTAAATAGATTAAATCTGTTTTTTTACTAACTGCACTACGGCAGTTCCACTGCAGAACTTTGGCTTGGTTGTCCGTTCCTTTTATTATTTAAAATATTAATGAATGCATTTGAAAGAGAAGCAACGTTGGACGGTGGAATGATATTAAATTGTGTTAATAAATTTAAAAGAGCTATTACTATTTCAGAAATAGATTGTTTAGATTCATCTTGCTGTTTATAACCACATCCATCTGCAGGAGCAGGAGGATTGTAGTCTTTTGTTAAAGTAATATATTCACTACGATCAAACCCATAGGAGGGTTTTGGAGGACGACGAATTTTTTCTATGACGGTTTTTTTATAAGATTTATTAGAATGAGGAGAAATTACATTATGAATTCCATCCTGGTTTGAGTTTACTGTACTATTTACAATGACTGGATTAGATCTTAGAGTGTCAGCATATGATTTAATAGAAGGAGCATGCAATTTGCTTGCTTCAGCATAGGAGATGCAACTTTTAGCCATTGTTTCTTTAATTGCCTTTTGCCTTGAAAATTCTGGACATTTTTTGCTGTTTGCCTGGTGAGCACCTTGGCATAAACAACAGTAAAAATCTTCTTCTTGGACAGAACAGGATTCTCCAGAGTGGCCCTGACCACACTTGTAACAACGTGGAACAGATCTACATTGATTTTTAATATGGCCATACCTACAGCAATTATAACACTGAATGGTAGGGTATATGTACAAATCAACAGGCAATGAATTATAACAAATGAAAACTCGCTTAGGTAACACTTGACCATCAAAAGTTATAACAACAGATTCAGTCATTACAAATTCAGATTTACCGTTAACAAGAGATTTTCTCTTTAAACGCCTAACTTTCAAAATTTTGCCACAACCTAATGGAACTGAAACATTTTCTATAATTTCCTCATCAGACCAGGCAGTTGGGATGCCCCTTATTATTCCCATCCTTGTTAAATTGAATGCTGGTATAAAGGCTTTATAATTATGAGATTTTAAATCCACACTATTTATAAAAGAATTAGCATCTGTATAATTAGAGAAAGCTAATGATAATCTATTTCGCCCTATCTTTTTCAGACTACCATCAATTACATTTTTGAAAGTATTTCTCTGAAGGAAACGACCAAAGGCTATTGGGTGAAGTGAAGAATTATCATCCGGGGATGATAAAACTTTTTGTATGTGAACGGTGAATGGAGCAGAATCATGAGGTTCATAATAAACTCTACTAATAAAGTTATGTGGACGAGATGAGTCATTCTCCTGATTATTTATTAAATTATTGTTAGAAGATTGTTGCTGCTTTTCCTCGTTGAATTGAGAACATTCACATGAAAATTTATTCTTATTGTTTTCACCTCCTCGATTCCTCCTACGTTTTTTATTGCAATGCCTACAAACATTGCCGGCTACTGATTTACGTTTTCGTTTTGTTCCAGAATTATCAGAAATATTAACAGAGCAATCTGTGTCCATAGAGTCCTCATTATTACTAATAATTACATGAAGAGCGACCTCGGGGACCGTGCCCCCGGGATCATCCGGGGGTCCATATATTAAAAAGAAATATATACAAAAACTTACCTAGTTTACAGCTACTATTACACAAAACTAATATATACAAAATTAAACTAATATCAATGCTATTTGTAACTTATCTGATCGATATTATAATAAAAATAAATAAATAATTCAGAAAAACTCGACAGCCAAATTTTATGTTTCCCGCCCTTTTTTCAAATGGGAATTATTTATAAAATATAGAAGAGAGTAACCAGGTAATGGACATGTTAAAAAGTTGGCTGAAGCTTTATAATAAAACCTAGAATATGCATGTTACCATTTTAAACCAACAACACAATGAAACTATATTCATAGTGTCATGTAACTGCCTATATATGCCTCTTTACAAAATATTAATAACGAATGTTGTCGTAAAAATAAGGTACTTTTTCATAATGTTTCATGAAATAAAATTTCATGAAAGTAATTATAATTAAATAATTATATTTAAAATAATTATATACAATAATATACATATATAAACAATATAAATATATAAACAATAATTTGTGTTCAGAATAATTTGACTTTACTTTACTTAATTTCTATTTTAATTCTAGTATTGTTAATAGTTAAGTAATGCAAATTCTTTTGTCCACATTAAATAATAGATATAAGTTTCATACAGTGATAAACAGTATTTGAAAAACAATACGTATTATCATACATGCAAAATGAATAGCCTATTTGCAAATATATTTGTATACCTAATATTGTTGCATAATATGATATTTATATCAACAAATAACATAGGCACGATAGAAAGAACACTAATGGATATTGGTTAATTTTAATAATTTATCGCAATTGGTAATATAGCATAAAATATGAGCTCTGTTATGGTATATATAAATTATAATTAGATTGTATGTAAATTTTATCTATACTTAACTATATTAATTTTATTGGTTACACACCAATTCAAATCTATTAAAAATTATGCTAACGCTATGTTAAACGTTATTTGTTCTTTTGTTTGTGTCATAATGATCACAAATTTATTTATATTTTTACATATAACTAATTACGGTTATGAAAGGTAACATACACTTTTTAAAAAAAAAATTGCTCCATGTGACGTAGGCTTGCGTTAATAGTTGTTTTTTTTTAATCAATCCTTTGACACATGGATTAAGGATAGTTTAAAAATGAAAGGAATATTATAACAGATTACATTAGTACAATGACTCACAGATTCTCGAAATATATATATATATATATATATATATATATATATATTTATGTTTATTATTAATTGTTATCAATGAAATACACAGGTTGACTGATATAGACTGTATTAGCATTAAGTTCACCTTTTGCGCCATAGTTTCTTTTGATTAATAAAATGATTTATATAAATGATAAATAAATGAAGGTAACAAAACAGAAGGTGGGATACGACTATGTAGAAGTATACGGAATCATGTTTTTTTTTCATCGTAAAAAGTAATGAAAATTGATGTAAGTTTGTATATACATACATACATATCTGTCACGCCTGTCTCCCATTAGGGTAGGCAGAAACAATGGAACGTCAAATGCTTCGATTCAAACAAACCTCTTTTGCTTTTTCCACATTCATCAATCTTTTCATACACGCTCGCCGGTTACGGGTACTTTTAATTTGGCCCTTCTTCAGCACGTTTGTGTAATATAAATAATAATATAAAGGAATCAATTCGAAGAAAATATTTGTTTTTATGGGTAAAAATAAAGAATTGCATGTGGTAACTCGGATATATACAAAGTACTCTGTGTAACTCGGCTTTTCTGTCAAATACTGTCAATTCTGTAATCGTTTTTATTATTTTAGTTTTCTCTGATTGAGGATTTAAGTATGAACTAAATATTGGGGATGTATTGTGATTTATGTGGCAATAAATGTTGTGATATTGTAATCAATTAATTAAATATTGATTATAAGTTTTATGAATGTGACATGGATTTACAAACGTCGCATTTGGCTGCCGCTTTAATGTCTGGCAGTATTTACAATAATACGCCAGCCGAAACAACGCCAAACATCGAAAATATCGCAAATAAACCTGAAAAATCCAATGAAACTTTGAAAGAACATCCTGACGAAGAAAAAGAAGAAATGGGTAGTGAAGAGGGATTTTCGGATGAGGTAATTTTTGTTTATTATTATGAATCTGTATTGTTTTTTTTAAACCTTAAACATTTCAATACTAAGGGGTTTGGTATATATATTTCATAGTAGACTAGTTATCTTCAACATGTATTACTAGTTGGTGTTAACTACCTCTTTTTCATCTTTAGTCACCTCTGCTCTTACCTCTATTACATATATTAATTTCAAAATTTTGACCCAACTAGAAAATAATTCAGCTATTGTTGGTTTAAACTTCATAGAAAAAAATCTTTTTTCGATTGTAGGGCTAGATGTACATATAGGGGGGAAGGGATTGTTAGTAATGGGGTCTAATGAACCCATTGCTAGCAATACACTATCAGGCCGACCTCTATGTGGTTCCCACTGGAAACCATCATGAACAATTCTTGTTGAATTTGTCACAATGGGCTAACTGACCTGCTTCATCCTCACCTATCATCCTTCACTGGTGCCCCGCCAGTGTATACTGATAGTGCGGGCGGGGTTACCATTCCATTATCACCCTTTAAAAAAAAAGATGTACATATAAATAAATAGGAATACTGGTTAAAAAATTTTTAAGGTACCTTTATGTGCTACTATTAATGAGTTTCAAATAATTCTTATTAAATCAAAATTAATCTATTTTAACAAATAAAAATTAGATAATTAATTGTCCATTCTGTTACATGATTTGGTTGTTCTCTATTTTTGTTTTTTTTCTTTTATGCAACTTAGAATGACAAACAAGCTGACAGCCCACCTGATAGAAAGTGGTAACCATCACCTAATTTCTCAATATGAGCAGTACCATAGACATAACAGAGTATACTGTTTTCTTTATGATAAATCTCGACTCTATTAGTCTGTGTTATTTATTATGAAGATATTTAGGAAAAAATAAGATTACGAATTGTCCAAAGGAAAAATAGGCAGTATTTTATTTAGATACAGAATGACATCTATTATAAGTGTAACTAGCCAGTAAGAGAAAGGTAACCGCAGTTTCATCTATATAGGTCGGTATGCTACAAAGTCTAACAGTTTTGCCCATGGTACCCCCCTCCCCTATACATTGCCATTCCTGAGGACTCAGGTGTTATTCCTCTGTACCCTGTAAATTCACTGTCATATCCCACCCTTCAAACCGAAACACAGCCATGCAAACACAACTGCTTCACAGTTGAAACACGAATGGAACAGAGGTGTCCAAGCAAACGACTATTGTACATACAAAGTGTCTTACTGGTAAAAATAGTAAGAATAGTTTAGTTACTAACCACAAACAACACACTGTTGAAAATAAATTTAATAAATTTTTAATAAAATTATAATAACAAAATAATTGTATATTAGTATATTTGCATCTTTTAATTGTATATTATTTAAAGAACCTCTGTAAATTAAATAATCCTTTAATTATTAAATTAATTTAAATTTATACAATAAAAATCATAAAACAAATCCAATTTAAAATATAATTACCATATATTTTATTATATGTTTTAATTTCTTTATTACTTTCTTACTTTATTATTATGTGAGTTAATCATATCAGATAGCTTATAAGTGTTGAAATTCTTCTCTGAAAATTAGCAATTTTAAATACTTAGTTGATGATAGTAACAGTTATTGGTCTATGTGTAGTGATAGTACGTATTGGCCCATAGGCCATTATACAGTATAAAATCACTAGTTTTTGCATAGACAATCATCATTTTTTAAATATGAAAGTATGTTTATTTTGTTTGTTATTTCTTGGTGCTATAACTAATTAATAAGTTTGGTATATAAATAGTATTTGGGACTGAAAAGTATATATGCTACATTTTTATCTAAATAATTTTAATATAGTCATGGGCATAGTTGGTGTATAAATTAATTAGTAAATATTATTTTATATGATAAGAAATATTTCTATTGCTATTACAGGAAAATGAAGCACAGACTGGCAATAAGTCTATTCCAGGAAGAGGTGTTACTTTACAAATGCTACTAGAAGAAAAAATGCTTGAGCCTGGAACTGCTGCAATGACTATAGAATACTTGGTTTGTAGCTATGTTGTCTTATTTTAAAGATGGACACATTTTGAAGTTGTTTTGGTTCATTGTTTTAATTATTTTGGAAACATTTTGCTTCATCATTTCTTATACAAACAGCCAAGCAGTGGAATTCTCTTCCAGTGTCTGTGTTTTCAGATTACATTTTTTATATAATATACTTATTTATTTATTATAAAACCCAAAAATTATTTGTACTTTGTGTTTTATTGTAATTGCATTGAGAAAGTTTAATCAAATGCAACAAAATATTTTTGAATTCTAAATTAATAAGTACATGCAATATTTTTTGAAAGTATTGTCTTCTGTCTGTATGTTTGTTATGGTATCACATAAAAATTATTGCAAGAAATTTAATGCAGTTTTCGGAATTGTGTTTTAATGAAGGTTTAAGGTGTAGATGAAGATTTTGTCTGTTTGGAATTTGTTTGAAAGTTATTTCTTAATTGTTTCCATAATATTTGCTTTTATAGGAAATCACCCTTCCCTCCTCTTCATGGCGTAGACTATATTTTGTTGCCATTGAATATTTATCTAATATATAACTATAATATTGAGGTATATAAAATATCTAAATGTTTTAGTTACGAAGTTAATAACACAGTATTTTGTATGTATGTATAGAATCAATATATTTATCTACTTCTAAATTCTACAGGTATGTAGTCACTAGCAAAAGTTAATCAGAAATACAATTTTCGGTTACTAAGAAGAATGTTATACATACTAATTGTGTTGCATGTTAATTTAAGTAATATACATATATTAATACATTAATGTTCTTTATATTTCATGCAGGGTCAAAAATTTGTTGGAGACTTACAATCGGATGGTAAAATTAAGTCACATGAAACAGAAACAATTTTTTGTTCTCCTTCTGCTTGGGCAATACACTGTAAACGTATTATTAATCCAGATAAAAGGTCTGGATGTGGTTGGGCTTCTGTCAAATACAGGGGGAAAAAATTAGATACAATAAAAGCTACATATCTTCGTAAGAAACAATTGCAAAGAGAAAATATGCACACTGATGGTATGTTTGCATGTTTAATTTTAAAATTTCGTGCAGTGCTTTTAATTTTTATTCTAATTAAAATTTCCATTTGTAGAAGAAACAGAAATGGAAGTTGAAAATCCGCCAGAACCTCCTCCACAAAGGGTAGTAATGAAACACAACACAGTACCCAATAGGATGATGCAGCAGTAAGTTATTATAACAATAAAATCATTTTCATTATTCATGTTCATTTCATCATTTCAAAATTCATTATTATTAAATAAATAATTTTTTTATAATAGAAACTTGCTTTGGGTATCATATAGGTAGTATTATTCTTCAGAACAAAATCAATTGAGGAGAACGGGATTGTTAGTAATAAGAATAAATCTATGTGGTTGTCCTCCATGCGGTTTTATCTGGAAAACTATCATTAATTCTTATTGAATTCGTTACGATGAGTGTCTGATTTGACTTCATTTGTACCTACAAATGATCATGATAATTCTATAATTCTATTTTTATTTCATAAAATAATCATAATGTTATGACATATAATACCTTATACGTATAACACACAAAAATAAGCAATTTGTTCTGAAACTGAACTGAATTTGTACAATAATTTTTCAATAAAGGCATATAAACAAAATAATTTTGTAACTAATACAGTTATAGGTATATAACATAGATTTGTTTATGATTAAAGTTTTTTATATATAGGCAAGAATTTGTAAAGGGCAAATAAAATTTGTTCATTGATAGTAGATTTTTGTATGAACTCAGACTTTACTATTATTATTGTTTTTAGTGATACCAATATGTTGATAGAAGCAGTGTCATTTTCTTCAGTTGGAAAAGCGCAACCATTTATTGTGTCAGTAAGTTCGAATGCTTGCCTCGTGCTTGACATACACTGCCATTTGAAGAAGGAAGAGGTGTATGGTTATTTGGCTGGAACTTGGGATTTAAATACTCACAGTTAGTTATTTCATTGTGTAAAATTTATCTCATAAATGCATGCACACTGGTCTCGGAAACTGTTTATTTACCCTTCAGACATGACTCTATCAGTATAATAAGTTAGTTTAATAAAGTATAGGTTAGTCTAAGTCTTCTAGCTCTTCCATTTCTGCAACCAATCGTTATTTTTTTAATAAATGCGTAATGGTTATTATTAACAATTTAAAAGTCATCGGTGCTGCCAATGCAGTAATTCAAGTATGACAATTCATTAAATTAAAACATTAATAATCATGGATGATTAGAAAAGTATTATTTCTTATTAATATAAATGAAAAAGTAAGTTTGTTTCCTCTTGGCATTTTAATGCTTCAATCAATGTTGAACGTTAAGTGCACTTATAAATTATTATCAAGTCTCTCCGCACTCCCCAGGTAAACATTCTTGGCTATATGTGACATGCTAATGTGATGTGCTAATAACAATTTCTTTAGATTATTATTTTAATAACAGAATAATTCATTATTGTGGTTGTAATTAATACCTATTTACAAGATATCTAATATTAATTTACTTTTATCTTTTAGATTTAATGATAACTCACACATTTCCTTGTCTTGTGAGCAAAAATGACAGTAGACCAAGAGTTTTAGTGGAACTAGAAATTCAAATGGAAATTGAGAAACTTGGTCTCACCCTCCTTGGATGGTATCATTCTCACCCAACGAATCCTGCAATGCCGAGCCTAAGAGATTGTGATAATCAATTAGAATATCAAATTAAAATGAGAGGGCCATCTGAAATTTCTTACATTCCATGTATTGGTGTAATATGTTGTAAGTACAATAACCTTGCCAGTATATTGTTTTTATAATAGGTGTCTTTTATCATACTAAAGCAGATTAGCTTTGTTACATTGGTTTTTGATGATGTTATCTCGTCATATATATTATATACTGTTTACTCATGATTTTGTTATTTTAATAATTCATTGTATGTAAGGAACCTTTTTTTAAACCGCCTTATGGGCGAAAGCGTATGTTCCGAAGTAAACTGTTAACGGCTGAAGTAATATAAGGAACCTTGTAAAAGTATTATAAATTTCTCTTTTTGTTAACATTATAAATGTTTAGCGTGTTTATTTCTAATCAATGTGTACTCTTTTTCTAATGTTATAGCATTTTTATTTAGAATATAAAATTAAAGGGTACCCTTGTATTTTTTCGTTTCAGCACCTTATAACCCAGAAAGTCCAGTCTTGGAATCATCTTTAACATTTTTTTGGGTAATGCCACCTTCAGAACAAAGACCCACAGAATATCCCAGGCCCTTGTTATTGCAGTACAATATGATACATGATAGTCATTTGTCACCACATGCAATGGAACAGATAAAGAAAAGCATAAAATATTATTTTACTTTCACGGATGACACATTTATTAATTTTAAGGACAATTTCAAACCAGATATAACATTTTTGGATAAACTTAAGTGTACATTGACAGCTAAATTTCCACGTGAACAAAGCGATGGCTTACTTTGGCATTTCATACGAGATGAATTAGGATGCTCTTCTGAACATGACGATAAAATGGACTTAGATGCATTATTAGCAGTTCCTCAACCTATACCTGTATCCAAACCTAGTCAAACAACTTCAGTTCCCAACTTTCCGTCAGTTAGTACACTGCAACAAATGGTTAGTCGACCGGCTGGCGTTCCGCCTATAAACGTTTCTTCAGGCATTGGATCGCCTCATAAATTTGAAACGCCTCCATTAAATATTCCCGTATTGTCGACTTCTACGAAATCATCAAAGTCATCGAGTTCCTCTCTCTCATCAACATATCCTACGGGTTTAGATATGCTGACGAGTATGGCATTAGGATTAGGATCTTCAAACTTACCTCTTCCTTTGGGTACTACAGGTTTGGAAAGTCTAGCCGCCGCTAACAGTATGTTAACTGGACTTACTCCTAATCTACCGTCTAGCTTAGCCGCAAGTTTATCTAGTAATAAATTACCTGATCCACCTTCATATGCGGCTTCTCTTCAAAATTTAACAAGCAGTATTGGAAACTATGATAAAACACCGTCTAGTACTGCAACAAGTACCACATCCACTCCTATTCCAGCAAGTATAGCTTCTAATCTAATGATGAGTTCTGCAGATATAGCTAATGCATTGTTTTCTGCTAGTAAATATTCAAGTGCTGGTATTTTAGGCATTCCAGATCCCATGTCGAAATCAACTTTAGCCGCCAATAATATGTTTCTATCACCGTCATTAATGAAAATGCAAGAAACTCTTTTAAAACCGCTGTCTAGTAGCAGCTCAATATCTTCAAAAGTTGGTTTAGATCAAAATGTATTGATGAAATCTCCTCACGATCTGTTAAAAGGTAATAAAGACTATTTGCCGCCTGATTTTGGGAGTGTGGGAAAAGGGAAAACGGACAATGCTTCTGTAGATGCAGTGAAGCTATCTGAAGGAAGTGGCTCTTCAAAAGGAGAATCCTCTAAATCTGAAAATGTTGATATGCAGGCAACTGATTTTAGTATGTCGTCACGCGTGGGTGGTGATTCATTTTTGAATCAAATGCTAGAATTAACAAAAAAGACGACTATGCCGGACTACATGTCAGATTATGGTCAACCACCATTAAAAATGGCTAAGTCCGAAGAGCTGCCGGCTCCTGTGCCACCGTCTAGTCATTCATATTTAAATACATCTAGTATCGTAGATACTATAGCACAAGTAGCAATGGGGAATTTTTCCAAACACGATGAATCGATGGATTATATCAAAGAACAAGATTACACTACAAATAAAACCACAATGAATGAGAATGATAATTAAAAATGGAATCTCATGATAATATTGGAATGATTGTAAATTATGCTTGGCATTTATTTTATTGTAGTAATATGGTGTGTACAAGTATACTCATACATAAGGTAAAGGCCGATTTTTTATCAGGTATGCTTTTTTAAGTGCGTTTGTGTATGTGTGGACAACTTTTTTTATATTAAAAACAAATCTCAGTATTTTAGACTTAATATAATTTATAATATTAATAAATAATAAAAATGGTAATAAAATTGTCTTAACTCTTATTAATTTTCCTTAACCTTTTAAAATAGAATATTGAGACAATTATTATTACAGAAATGCTTACTTACTTACTAAGAGTTGGTGATATTATTGTAAATATTCCGCGTTCCGTAACATAGTGAGATGAGAACGGATGAGAACAGACTTCGGCAATTTTTGCTGTAAAAGAACAATGTTAAGATTTATAGAGCCTAAGTCAATAATAAGTATCAGGAATGTTTTCTTGATTGTGTTTAATTAGTGCGTTGGTAATTTTATTCTAATTATTAATGATTTATCATCCGCACTATATAACACAGAGAATAAAAGTATTTACTTGCTTTATTGAATCTTTATAGATATATTATGTTAATAATGTATCTGGACGATATTTGTGTCTGTAACATATTAAAAAAAAAAAAAAACCATATAAGAGATTTTAATAGAAGCCAAAACAATTTTTTTTAGAAATTTTGTGTTAGTATGTATGTTTGTTCTGGCATCACGGAAAAACTACGTCTCCAATTTACATGTGGTTTTCACTGTTGTGTTCTTGAAGGTTTTAACTTAAAAACTGTTGTACGTTTTATTTTGATACGCCATTGAGATCTATTTCATTTAGTTTCCTACTTCTAAAATCGGCGTGTACAAAATGGGCAGAAAGCTAATTTATGATAAAGCAGAAACGCGTGGACGCCACAGTTTGAAAAATTTAAAACGTTATTACACTAATAATTAATAATTGCACTAGACACTAATGCAAAAAATCTCATTTCTCATAATATTACTAGTAATTAAAATTCATATGTCTATTGTATCTTTGAGTAGTGAGTTATGTTTAGTTAGTTGTTATGTATTATTTGCAATGATTGAAGATTGTGGCATACAAAAACTTACTTCAATTGTGACAAAATCAGTTATTTTGATCTAAAAATTCAATTACTAAACCGATTTTGATAAAATTTCTATGGGACCAATCTGTAAGTATATCTCTGGAGATAAAACAATTCGATTCGGTTTAGAACTGACGGAAAAAGCGTAACAATTACGACCGAACTGAGAATCTCCTTTTTGAAATCGATTGTAAAACGTTCTTCACTTGACCTTGATTTTTTTGTAACGCTATCTTCGATAGGTAGGAGGGATTTTATCTTACGTAAAAATATTGCCAATTTATTTTTTCGCCAATTAATTACTTTACCTTTAATATATGGTTTGCATTGAACATTGATAAAGTTTAATTGTCTAATAAGTTATCGGTATTGGTTTATGTATAAGTAGATTCAGGAAATCCGTAGTGTCCACAAGTATTATCTACTTTTCTAGAATTATAGATCTTAGGTCTTAGAATGTAGGTCGTATTTTCTAGAATTCTGAAATTACATATCTATACATTACATATATGGATAGATAAAATGTAATTTTCACCGAATTTATCAGAAATTTCATTAGTGTTCAATGCAGGAAGTTTTGGCTTCCAATTTGGTATATATACAATGGGCTGTTCAATTTTTATACGTCGCTTCTTTCGTTTATTTAAATTATTAGAATTGCGTCACTGATTTTATCGATTGTCGCTTCCTCAGATAGATTGTGAATCACGGCTAAGGACATGGTAAGTATCTACTTAATATATTTTGATTAATATCTAATCAAGGTAAGTACGATAATAGGCGGACCATTGATATGGATATTAGGAATTAAAAGTAATATCGACGCGACTGCTAAATGTACTATTTAATTGTGTATTTATTTAGTGGTGAAGTTTCGTAGCGTCACGTCATAAACGTTGCATATATTTTTTTAATACTGATAGTATTTTTCTTTGTGCAGTGAGTGCAGTTATGGTTTGTGTTCTCCCAAAATATTCTGTTGAGGTAAGATACGATATTACGTTGGTTTTTTTTTTGTGTTGTTATCGCTATTATGCTACGTAAATAATACGGAAAACATGCGAAGAAAAACTTAGAAGGAATCGATGGGTCTAATCGTTAAACAATCTGTATCTACCTGGCAAATACTAAGAATTGTACCTACATACATATTATGTTATAAACAAAAGTATATAGGCACAATTAATGAAATACAAAATTATCAAACGAATCCACTATCTATCCTATCTTCAAAAGGAGGGTAAAGAGGTTTCTTCAGGGTCGGCAACGCACGCATAATACCTCTGGTATTGCAGGTGTTCATAGGCTACGGTAACCACTTATCATCAGGTGGGCCGTAAGCTTGTTTGCCACCTCAGTGGTATAAAAAAAATCCTTTCCTAATTGCGCGAAGGAAAAAACAAGTTGACAGCCCACTCGATGGAAAGTTGTAGTTGTTGTCCATAGACATGAATGGTACTATGGATATCAAAGAATACACTGTGATACCCATTTATCCATGTCGTGCCATCGGTATACACCGGTGGGACATCAGCGTGAGATGATAAGTGAGGGTGAAGCAGGTCAGTTGGCACATAGTGACGAACTCAAAAATATTAAATCACAATAGTTTCCTGGAGGAACCGCGTGAAGGTCGATCTGATAGGGTATATTGTTGCCAAAGGGCCCAGTTAAATCCACATTATTAACAATCCCTTTCCCCTGTGATACCTTTGTCACCTTTCATGCGTAGGTATATGGAACAGAAGCCAAAACAAATGGAATTTTTGTCTGTACCAATGTATCTCGTTGTGTCGAGGAAAACAAATCACCATTTATTATAAATCAAAGTCCCCGCTGCGTCTGTCTGTATGTTCGCGATAATCTCAAAACTACTAAACGGAATTTCATGCGATTTATATTTATAATTAGAGTGATTCCAGAGAAAAGTTTAGGTGTATAATTCATTAAGATTTTGTGTAATTTGATTGAAATATGACAATGATTGTTGAAGATAAAAGACAATATCAAGTCGTCTGAGAGTTTTCATCGAAAACGCTGCCTAATCTGTTTGAGATATAACAAAACAATGTATGATGAGATTGTTTCTCTTTTATAGGTCTATAAAAATTTCGCTGTTTAGTATTATAATAGCCATTTACAGCATATAGTCATAAATTAAAAAAAAAAATAACTTGATGCAGCTACCCCCACCCGCGCTAATAAACAGACTTTTAAAGCGAATGTTAAAGTAATTTGATATGTTACATTTAAATTTAATTCATACTCGACTAGGTAGGCAGGGGGGGGGGGGAAAGGGATTGTTAGTAATGGAGACTGAGAATCCCATTGCTAGTAATATACCCCAGCTAGGTCGACCTCCTCGCGGTTCCTTGAAACTATCATGATTAATTCCTGATGAATTCATCATGATGGGCTAACTGGCCTGTTTTCATTCTCATCTATCACCCTTCACTGGTGCTCCGCCAGCGTATCCCGATAGCGCAAGCGGGGCTTTCACCCATCAAAAAAAAAAAAAGACAGGTAGGCAGGAACTAAGCTATTTTACTATAATTGTGCAACGCTGGGACGGGTCGCTAGTTAAATATAAAAATTACACGTTATTCGTTGATAAGCGCATCACTTGAGAATAGCTGAACATTTTCATTATTCATATATTGAATCGGCTGTATTGTTAATATCGGTTAACATATTATTAACTATTTATAGAAAATTAGAAGATGAATGCCACGACATCGGATTTCAAAGGATTGCAGAATGACAGTGACGAGTCCGATGAAGAGTATACACCGTTGTATGATGACACCGATGAACCAGAGTATGTATTCATTGTTATCACAGTTCAGGCCTTTGAACTTTGTATCCTAAGATATTAAAAAACCGGCATCAAACTTGACAATAAATATATTTGGCATTGCAAATTAAAAAACACGATTGGCTTGTCAAAAACTAATTATGCAAGGATTCTAATGATACTGCAATATAATACAAATCTGTTTAGGCATTTTGAACTTTAAGAAGTTATGATGAAATAAAAATATATTCAATCGATGATAAATATACATAAGTAAAATGTAGACGTATCATATTTGTTAATATTAATTACAGTCAACGTACCGCTCGAGAAACGAAGGGATGGAACCTATTTCGAGAAGTTCCCGTGAAGAAGGAAAGTGGCTCGCAAGCTACCGCAGAATGGATCGATCTCAGCGTAAAGATTTTGAAACTGCTTGCGTACATATTGGTATTTCTGGCAGTACTCAGTTCCGCTGTTATAGCGAAAGGAATTTTACTATTTATAACATCACAATTGAAAAAGGACCGGAATATTAATCATTGTAATAAACCATTAGGTAATTTTATTTTAATTTTAATTATTCATAGTTGTTTATTGTTATAAGTACATATGTACACAATAAGTAAGATTTTAAAACAAATTTAAACGTAGCCAGAATTACTTCTCATCCTTACGTAATATAAATGTGAAAATTTGTTTGTTACATTTTAGCGCCTTAATGACTTGACCAATCACTATGAAATTTGGTGTACCTACACGCTTTTTAACTCAGTTAGTAACATATTATCGTTAAGTATAAGTTGGTATCGTTAAGTATAAAAGCTATTATTAATATGAAAATCAAACTATCATATATACTTAAACATTTCTATATATCAACAATCAGGAATAATAACAAGGTTGATAGAAATTAGGAAAGTGCGTACCGCAAAATATTGGATATTTCTAATTTTGTTGTTGTTATTTAATTTTCTTTATTATATTCTTAAAAGTTCATTAATGGAGTAATAGAATTTTCTTTTATAATAATCGTATACCTACACTTACTTTTCTATTATGTAAATTATGTATTGTATTGTAAAATCTTTACTGTACATAATTCATACTGAATACATTAAAAGATTTAATATACAATATATGTATGTCTTTATATTGAATTGTGTTAGTTTTATTTATATCTACAACAAAACGTTCTATTTTATGAAATTCGTAATGTGCTTAGGCCACACATATACCTACCTACTTATAAAGAAACCCCAATGTTTTTGATGTGACTCTAATACTCGTAACGTTATTTTGTTATAGCACTCGATCAACAATTTCTGACCACGCACACATTGGAAGAGCGCGTGTCATGGCTGTGGGCGGCGGTCATTGTATTTGGTGCGCCAGAAATTGGGGTGTTTCTCAGATCTGTTAGAATATGTTTTTTCAAAACTTACAGAAAACCTACACATTTAGAGTTCTTTGTCGTAAGTAAAAAGCGTTATTTCGAACGGAATCAAATTGCTTGTATAGATGTTGTTGTCTAAATTTTATTTATGCATAGAAACATTGTCAGTTATAAAACTGAGACCAGTCTGTACGTATCTTATTTTTTATCTTACTAATATAACTATATAATATATAAATTGCAAATAAACGACATTTATAGATGGGAGATGTTTAAGAAAAATGGATATTAGAAGTCTTAAGAAGAGCAATAGAAACTAAAAATATTTTTAGAAAGTTTGTCTGGCTATGTGTTTGTTCCGGCAACACGCAAAATCTATTGTACCAAATTAGATGTAAATTTTACTGTTGCGTTCCTGAAAGTCTAACATAAAAACTGTCGTATATTTTATCATCATCATTTAGAAGCCATGTATTATATTGGTTATCCTATTTCTGAAAGCCACGCGTACAAAGTAACGGGTAAAAAGCTAATATTAAAAAAAAAGTAAAAGTACTCTCTATATTGCAAATACACGGCAGTTCTAGGTTTCATGCTAGATAAGTATCTTGTTTTGTATTATCTTAGTAATCAAGTCTTCTATTGTTTGCAGGCTTTCTTAACGGATACATTACATACAATAGGAATAGCCGTCTTGTTGCTGTTCATTTTGCCTGAACTGGATGTAGTGAAAGGAGCAATGCTTATGAACGCCATGTGTATAGTTCCTGGCATCTTTAACGCTTTAACGAGGGATCGGTCAGATTCGCGGTATTTTATAAAAATAGCTCTTGATATCTTTGCTGTGTCGGCGCAAGTTACTGCTTTCTTTGTGTGGCCACTTCTAGATGGGACTCCTATTCTATGGTGGATACCTATGGCCTGCATATTTACATCAATTGGCTGGTGGGAAAACTTTGTATCCACACCTGATAAAGATTCACCAGGTAATTTTGTAAAATATTTCTATAAATTATTCAGTTTAAGAGGTAGTATTATGTGGTCACACAGTAAAGATGCAAACCTTTAATATATCCATTTATAAAGTTGAACAAAGTTACACAATTTTGCTCACTCCGCCGGAATGCATTTCGTGGTTTAGAATATATAAATGGGGAAACCTATTTATTTCTTAAACCACGCGGATAGCAATATTATTTTATACTATATAATAATGCTGTAAAATTTTTACTTAACTATGTTGTATTTTGTAGACTACCATACTAACCTAATTGCTATCATACTGGGGGGATAGGGATTGTTAGTAATGAGATCCAACAGACCTATTACTAGCAATATACCCTAACAGGTCGACCTCCCCGCGGTTCCCCCTGGAAACCATCGTGATTAATTTTCGATGAATTCATCACGATGGGCCAACTGACCTGCTTCATCTTCACCTATTATCCTTCCACTAGTACCCCGCCAGCGTATCCCGATAGCACGGGCGGGGTTACCATTCCATTTTGATCCATTAAAAAAAATTGCTATCATACTAACCTATAATATGCCGCATGAAAATCAAATACCTAATCAAATTAAGAACGACTCTATTTTTACTTTTTTCAGCTTTTTATCGTGGTCTGTTTAAATTATCAAAGGAACTTAAAACTACGCGATACTATACCCAGCGTGTTTTAACTTTGTGGAAAATAATTATATTTATGGCGTGCGTTATGGTGTCGTTGCATGTACAAGGAGACAATCCTTTTGCATTTTTCACTTCTTGTTCTGATGCATTCTCTGCTCGTAATTATAGTGTTCACGAGGTACGTACGTCCACATAATGATTTTTTCCATTACTTAAACTTTACTTATTTATTAATAGGTAAACTTTTAATATAATAATATAATTTTAATATATAATAATCTTATACACTTGTACAGATTTTGCTATAAAATTCAGGTCAATATTAATTTGTACCATAATTCTTAGGCATCCTTGAAGAGTATCAATATGCAGTAAACCTACATATGTACTATTTAAGTAGTAGTTAAATATATATGTAATGTTCTAAAACAAATAAGATGTACATCCAACTTAAAGTAATCTAACACATATACCAACTATGTGAGGTATTACAGGTCACATCGGGACTTCAAATCTTACTTTAGCTAACTACAGCTAGAAACAATTTATATGAATGTGTGTATTTAGAAAAAAAAATGTGTATCACTTGTTTAGTACTCATAATATAAGTTCTACTTAGTTTAAGACTAGATGACATGTGAAGCAGTTGTGCTTGCATGGCTGTGTTTCGGTTTGAAGGGTGGGATATGGCGTGACTGGGTACAGAGGAATAACACCTGAGTCCTCAAGAATGGCAACGCATGGGGGTATCATGGGCAAAACAGTATACACCGTTATTTCCATAGTACTGCTCATGTCTATAGGCGACGGTTACCACTTTCCATCAGGTGGGCCGTCAGCTTGTTTGCCTAAGTTGTATAAAAAAAACATGTATACATAATGGTAGGTATATTATAAATGAATCTATAAATAGATGATATATCATCATCATTATACTATCCTTGAACTATTCACTGCTGAACATATGCCTTCCTCAGAAGGGGAGTTTTATCAGTAGATGCCACGCTTCGAGAGCGGTTTGGCAACCGCAATTAGGCTTTTAGTGATGTTCTAAGAGGGACCCTCTCTCATTAAGTTCCCTTAGTCGCCTCTTACAACAGCCACGGCAAAGGAAGGGGTGGCCTATTCTATGCCGGGACCTACACGACGATATATATGTATATACGATATAGATGATGTATGTTTAGCATGAATTTAATTATATATGTGTTTATTAATAATTAAAAGTGTCACATCCTGCCAATCGATTAGATAACGTCATCATCGTACGTCATCGTTTAAAATTGAACAACAACCGTCGTTAAAACTAATAAGTTAAAATTTTCCGGATTATACTTTCAACAAATGTGTATTTTTTTAATGGTTGATAATCGAATGGTAACCCCGCCTGCGCTATCGGTATACGCTGGCGGGGCACCAGTGAAGGATGATAGGTGACGATGAAAGCAGGTTGGTTAGCCCATCGTAACTAATTCCATTAGAATTAACCAGGATGGTTTCCAGGGGGAACCGTGTGTAGGTCGACCTGATAGGGTGTATTGCTAGTAATGGGTCAGTTAGATCCCATTATTAACAATCCCTCTCTCCCCATTAAATGTGTACTACATAGCAATGATTTATCAGTCGACAAAAAATGCGATTTTGCAGATACCCTTCGTGATAAATAGCAAATGAATCTATCGACATACATATCATACATCGTAAGTCGTTGTCATGTACATTATATAGAATGCAATAACAAAGACCTATAAAAAAGTTAGTTACCTATTAGCGACTCAACCATTCGTAACGAAGTTTAATATACAAATATTAATTGGGTTGGAGAAGTACATAAGCTACCTTTTTTATCCTAGTCCATCAATATATCCCGCGGTTACGCGGACAATATTGCGGGTAAAGTATGACTAGCATCTATAAAACCATCGACAGATTCGTTTGTCATTTGTATAGAGAGGCTGATTGGATGTTAATGCTACTTAATAATATTAAATAACAAATTATCTATACGTAAATAAAAAATAAAATGCTAAATGTGTTGCCGAGCTCAAAACTAGAGAACATCTAGACTAATTCAGCTATTTTTTCTTTAAATATTCTTTGAAGTCCGAGAAAAGTATTAATAAATTGGTCGGGGACAAACGTAAAAATTCCTATTTATCTTTCTATTGTACAATTTATAGAACACAGATTGTCGAATCAGATAATAAGTTAGAAAACTGTCTATTTTTATCTTACAGTTCCACGTCATTCAGGGCATAACTCGAGACTTGGAATATGAATTGACTGGAGGTACCTTCGACTTGCCCGCTTCGTACAACTCATCGTTATGGGTGGCTTTAATCCAAGTTGCGGCCGCTTACTTCTGCTACGCCAGCGCTAAATATGCCTGTAAAATTCTAATACAGAGTTTCAGTTTCACGTTCGCTTTGAGTCTTGTGGCACCGATTACCATTAATTGTCTCGTAGTTTTTTGCGGCATGAGAAATTCTAATCCTTGCGCATTCCATAACAGTATACCGGACTATTTATTCTTCGAAATTCCACCAGGTAAGATTTTATAAAGGTGATATTTTTGTTCTAATAATGTCTAAAAGAACTAGAAATAAAGTTGAAAGATGCAGATATTGGAGAAGTCTAGATTGACCTAACACAAAATCTTTACTTATATTATAAATATGAAAGCGAGTTTGTTTGTTATTTCTTAACGACTTAACGATTTAATGCTTCTAATGCTCGTATGGGGTGGCACCTTTTGCTGTCAAGAATTTCTTTGTCACTTTTATTTTTAACTATGGAATTTGGTAGTGTTTGAGATAACGAAGAACTTAAGTCATTTTTTATCCCGATTAATTATAATAATTTGGTCAGGCGGAGGAAATAACAGGTAAAAACTGGTATCAAATAAGATTTTGATTATTTCAGTGTATACATTAAAAGAATATGTAGGCCGGGAAATGACATGGATCTGGCTTCTCTGGTTGATATCTCAGGCGTGGATTTGCCTCCATGCGTGGCAGCCGCGGTGTGAACGACTCGCTGCCACCGACAAATTGTTCTGTAAGCCTTGGTACAGTGGGCCTCTCGTCGATCAATCTCTGCTTTTAAATAGAACTAAAGAGGAAGATATGGAAATACAATACGAGGTAATAAACGATATTTATGCGATTAACTCTATTTGTTTTACCATACTTTTAATTGTTTATAATTTTTAGTCATGTTATGAGGTATACTTATATTTTTATCGAGTTTTGAAATGTTGTTGAAAATCTTAGTCATTCTATAAATAACGGAAATGATTTGATTTTTTTTATACTACAAAAGTGTTAAATGTGGTAAATAAGCATACATAAGTTTTATGTACTATCACTATTTGATTAATAGTACGAGGTTTTATTTCACAAAAAACTATACGATTTAATCATAATGAAGTAGGTATGAAAACGCAGGAGTAAATTTCTCCAATAAGATATAGCGTTATATACTTATAAATGAAAACAAGAAAACCTTTAAGAACTCACAATAAACCTGATTGTTTACTAAAACTAAATCTTACAAAATAAGTTTCGGCATGCCATATTTATTTTTTACAAACCATCACATAGCCTGTAGGATTTTCACGATTACGATTTTTTTAAATCTATTAAGCCATTTAAGCATCAAATATAGGAAACATTAAATATTCGAATATATTTATAGTTATATACATATATACCTCGAAAAATATTACCCTCATTATTCAGCAGTCGGTAAAATATATTATAATTGAGACCTCTTTCTTCCTTTTTTGGAAGTTGTGTTAAAATACACTTTAATACATTTAGTATTATTTTTTATTTTGTATTATTATCTATTTAGTTATCTGAATTTTGCATTGGCGATACGTAGGTAATTTATTAATATGTGCAATAAATTTTTATCAAATAGATTAAATATAGGTACATTCTTACCTTATCATAATTCCTAAATTTAGGTATTTATACTAAGAAACGGAATTTACCTTGATCTACATTTTCCTTGATTTGTTTTTCATTGTGACAAACTGTCTACCTGTACATGCAAATTATTTATTTTCAGAATCTTGAAACTACTTTGACGGAAGATATTTCTGAAATCGACAAAGATGGCACCAAAGATTATGTCAGACCGTCAGATAGCATAACAAGGTACTTAGTAATTTTACTGCGAAAAATTTAATTTAATTATATAGGCTAAAGTCTAATCAAATTATTAAGATACTTAGAAGCAGAGGCAGAGGCAAGAACACGGGAAATGACTAGAAAGACATTAAAACTCTATTAGCTCTTCTCTAAACTTGATTTAAAAAATCTATTTAAGCCGTATGACATTTTTCTTTTTTAACAAATGTTAGTATTGTGAGTGATTATGATAATTCTTATTGGTTAAAATTTGTAAATAAGTAAAATATTTTGTTTGAATACTTAAAAGAATTGGTTGATATATGCATACAATCTTTACAAGAGAGTTTCTCTTTTCGATTTACTTCATGACATCTGTGAGCATACCATCACTGATAATACTAGTGCCATGAGCTTGTCTTTGAACCGAATTAAAAGGACGATAGTTCTTTAACCCAGTGACGGCAGTACGACTAAAAGTATAATGTATTTAATTAAAGGTCTTGTAACTTGAAAAATCTATTCGAGAGTAAAGGTCATGTCTATAGGCAGTAGTTTTTTTTTGATGGGTGAAAATGATATGGTGACTCCGCCTGCGCTAACGGGATATGCTGGCGGAGCACCAGTGAAGGGTGATAGATGAGAATGAAAACAGGCCAGTTAGCTCATCATAATGAATTCATCAGGAATTAACCATGATAGTTTCCAGGGGGAACCACGAGGAGGTCGACCTGGTTGGGTATATTGCTAGCAATGGGATTTTTAGTCTCCATTACTAACAATTCCTTTCCCCCCTATAGGCAGTAGTTACCTACTTCCCATCAGGTGAGCCGCGTGGGTAACAATTCACACTAATATTAAAAAAATATATGACAGTAGGTTCAATAGTTTCTAAATAGTCGTATGCCTGAATACTATACTCAATTTGTATTGTGTTTTTTCATCTCAGAATATACGTTTGTGCAACAATGTGGCACGAGACAAAAGAAGAAATGATGGAATTCTTAAAGTCTATATTCCGTCTTGATGAGGACCAATGTTCGCAACGTGTCGCACGCAAGTACTGGGGCATACATAATAGCGACTACTATGAAATTGAAGGTTAGTATAAATAATAAACATATGTAATATAGTTTACTATTACCGTTGTTATAAGTATACATTAGACTTGTCTATATATCACCAAACATATTACGCGTACGAAGGAATAAGTCGGTACTGTAAAATTCGCAATAACATTTTTTTGTTTGTAATGCATTGTTAATAGTCAAAATAGAGGTTAAGAAGTTTTGTAATTATTTTTAATATAATTATCTGAATAAAATGTATGTTAAATTACGGACATTTTTAGTACTCTAATTACTTTTTAGAAATTTTTATTTTTACAAATTTTTGGTTGACTGCACATTTTTCGATTTGTGCCGCATGCATAAGTAAAAAAAATGTAGAATGTTTAATTTTGTCGAATAAGAATTCCTTTATTAGGCAACAAAGTTTAAGTTACTCAACTTCATCTTACTGCTACTACCTTGAACAGTAGTGAATTAGTGATACATCTACTTGTTTCTATTTTAGCGCATATATTCATGGATGACGCATTCGATCAGTCTGATAGTAACGAATCGAGCACTGTCGTGAACTCTTTCGTAAAGACTTTGGTGAATACAATAGATGAAGCCGCCTCAGAAGTGCACGTTACTAATGTTCGTCTAAGGCCACCGAAGAAATTCCCCACGCCGTACGGTGGGCGGCTAGTTTGGACGTTGCCTGGAAAAAATAAGCTGATTTGTCATTTGAAAGATAAGTCAAAAATCAGACACAGGAAGCGATGGTCACAGGTAATTGTAACTAGCTTGGTGTTTTAAAAAATAAATATGTATGTGGAGTAATTATATACATATGCCAGCTTTTGCTAATATTGCAATGTTAGTATGGTAAACAGAATTACTTTTGCCAAGCATTTAGAATCTAACGTGACAAGGGTTGAATCTATTGATGTCTATAAACCGGAAGGAAAGCATCCATCAATGGAGAGTCGATAGAAATAATAAATTATTACACAAAGTATCTTTATTTTGCTCATGTTTTACACCGATTAGCTGAGACTAGCGTATTCTAAAAACTAGGCCATAACCTTAAACGATTTTATTAGCATAGAATATTTTAAAATGAAACTAGACATGGTAGGATTTTTAGATTCGATTTGCGCCAAGACTTTAACACTTTGATTACTAAGGCGATCCTCGTCGACATCATCGTCATTATAGACTGGAAATTCATCCTTACACGCTTGTTCCTAAATGGTCACGTACAGTGCGGCTTCAAAGGAATTTTATCCTGTGAATGCTCAGGCTCTGGAATGACTTCTCTGCTGAGGTTTCCCCAAGAGACTACAGTATGAGGTTCTTCAAAATGGGTATATTAATTAAAGTTTATTTAGGGTCGGCGACATGTAAGTGACAATTCTAGTATTATATAATATATTGTAGGTCTATGGACAGGCAGTAGTGACCGTTTCCATAGAGACGGACTGTATGATTATTTGCCACCTTTGTGGTATAAAAAAATTCTAATTAAGTATAATTTACAGGTGATGTACATGTACTACTTTCTGGGACATCGTCTAATGGATCTGCCGATATCAGTAAAACGCAAAGAAGTACTTTCGGAGAATACCTACTTGCTCGCGCTAGACGGTGATATAGACTTCCAGCCGTCTGCTGTTACTCTGCTAATTGACTTGATGAAGAAAAACAAAAATCTAGGCGCTGCGTGTGGACGAATCCATCCAGTGGGATCTGGTGAGTGTTGCTATTAGAATAAAGGCTCTCGTCTGAAAAACTCATATGTAGCTAGGATAGGTGGCTGAACTATCTGGGACGTTAGGTATATATAAAAATTTCTTGACATTTTTTTACATTAATGTCTAGAAAGCTCTAGCTTTCTAGATATTAATTAATTACACTAATTAAATTGTACACACTCTAGTGTGAAGTCTCTTTTTCAGTTCCTTGAAATTATTAGTTTACATAATACACTGTTTTATTTATATATTTTAATTTACGTACTTATAAGAAGATTATCTGCACTATTGTCTTTGCCATTAAAATCATTGGACACTTGCCTACGTCAAAACTGTGTTGATTTTTCTGCTTGCTTCTGCTGTCACACAATTCGATACTTTAATATGTATAATACTAGTTTAGTGTAAAAAAAAAACTATTTATTTCATCGTAAATTACAATAATTTATTGAGATGAGAACCTCTTATTAAATATAAACAATACTTGTATCCTAAAGCTTCACGTTTCAATAATAGGTATAATTCATAAGAGAAACTTACACTACAATAGAAAGTACAATAAAAGTAAGTTAAAAAATAATAAATAAATATAATCATTAATTTTCAGGTTTTATGGCATGGTATCAAGTATTTGAATACGCCATAGGGCATTGGCTACAAAAAGCGACAGAACATATGATTGGTTGCGTACTCTGTAGTCCTGGGTGTTTCTCACTGTTCAGAGGAAAAGCTCTTATGGATGACAATGTGATGAAAAAATACACATTAACTTCAAATGAAGCTAGACATTACGTGCAATACGATCAAGGTAATTTTTGTTTGTTAAAAATAAACAGAGAAATATCGATTATTTGTTTATTATGGATAAACTTAAAAACTACTCAGCCGAATTAAAAAGCCGAGATTTTAAAAGGCCGGGGTGCTAGTAATTTAATGAAGTTTTGTAACTCACAGATAAGAAATATCATTATTATAATTATCATTATTGATGTGAAATTTTAATTTTTTGGGAAAAATACTTAGGGAAATATACAAACAATTTTACTGTGCATTAAAGTTAAAAAAAAAAAAACAAACATATATAAATCATAAGTATAACATATAAAATATATAATATAAGTAAGTATACAGTATACTTATGTACATAAGTAAATACACAAGTAAGTAGTAACAGTGTCGTCTAATTTCAAACTAAGTAGAGATTGTTCAAGCTAGCTACGAGAACTATCCACTATAATCTTATATAATTGCATATATTTTGCTTCCTCGTTGTATCGTGACGATAAAATAACATCAGGCTGTGCTGTGCTACGAAAAATTGTAAAAGACTATTACGTATAGCGTCGTTCTGTTAAGTGACGTTTTTATTCTCGATACGTTGAGTTAATTGTCATATCAAATTTTATTCCAATTAATATAAAAAGGGCCAAAATTGAGTAGTGAAATGTGATACAGGGGAAGACCGGTGGCTGTGTACTCTACTGCTGCAGCGAGGGTACCGCGTGGAGTACTCAGCCGCGTCTGACGCGTACACGCACTGTCCGGAGCGTTTCGACGAGTTCTACAACCAGCGCCGCCGCTGGGTGCCCTCCACCATGGCCAATATACTCGACCTCCTTGTAGACTCCAAGCACACTGTGAAAGTCAACGACAATATTTCTACGCTTTATATTCTCTATCAGGTATGTTGTATTGATAGAGTTCCTTTCGTTACCATCAAGTTCTTGTTTCGTTCGATTTAGATTCATTCATAGTTAAATTATTACAAAATGTTTTAAACCGATTTTACATACCAAAACTTATAATTGTTGTAATTTTAAAATAGATATCTATTATTAAAAATAAAATGTAATTTAATAATTAATAAAAAAAAAATTGTTTTCTTTTCAGATATTGTTAATGGTGGGAACTGTGCTGGGCCCCGGAACTATCTTCCTTATGATGGTTGGAGCTATGAATGCCATCACAGGAATGAGCAACATAAACGCACTCATGCTTAACCTTGTACCAATAGCGATATTTATCTTCGTATGCATGACATGCAAATCCGAGACGCAGGTTTGTTAGATATATTTATTTCATAGTTAAACAATACAATGTTAGTAATTTATACTTATTATTGTTTTGATTGATTATATTATAAAGTTGAAAGTGAATTTGTTTGTAATCTCTTAGCCTCTTAAGTACATCATAAAATTTGATATAAATTTATTTTAGTCAATCAGTATATCCTAATCACACGAACGTAAAAACCTGTTTGTTATATTATATTATGGGTCAATTTTATAAATAAACATTTTTAACAATGTATATACATTTTTAATATTAAATAGACAATAAATAATGTAATAAATATTAATGGTAAGTTAAATTAAAAAACTGTATTTTTTCCAGCTGACGGTCGCAAATATAATAACATGCGCATACGCAATGGTTATGATGATGGTCATTGTGGGTATATTGCTGCAAATAATAGAGGACGGCTGGCTCGCGCCTTCCAGTATATTTACAGTAGTCACATTTGGTTCTTTCTTCATAACGGCTGCGATGCATCCCCAGGAAATCTCGTGCTTGCTGTATTTAGGCATTTACTATATAACGATCCCCAGTATGTACATGTTGCTTATTATTTACTCCTTGTGCAACTTGAACAATGTCTCCTGGGGTACTCGGGAAGTGCCACAAAAGAAATCCATGAAAGTAAGTGTATAACGTTTAAAGATTTTTTTGTCTTTTATAAGCTTTTACTTGGAGACTATTATTAATTGAAATCATATATTAAATGAAATGTAAAACATAAAAAAAAATGATTTACCAATTTTTATTTTTATTCTGTTTGCTAGGAATTGGAACAAGAAAAGATGGAAGCAGAAGCAGCAAAGAAAAAGATGGACAACAGCAGTATATTACGGTTATTTGGAAATACTGAGGAAACGAGCGGTTCTATGGAATGCGGCGTCGCCGGATTATTCAAGTGCATGTGCTGCACTAATCCTAAGGATCATAAAGAAGAGCTTCATCTTTTGCAGATACAGAATTCTTTGGAAAAGATCGAGAAAAAGTTAAATAATTTGTACGTACAAATATTGGAATTTGTTTAGCATGAAAATTTTAAATCTATTAACACTTAAATATATCAATTTATGTTCAAAACGATTGTTGACAAAATGTCATGGCAAATATTTGATTGACATAAACTAAAACTAAAATATGGAGAGACCGCAAATTCAAAATCAACTTTTCAAATATTCTATTTCAAAGCCCATACGATTTGTTGCCAGTGGCAAAAAATTTACGGTGAAATCGAGTTTGCATATTACAGCCCATAATCTTTTTGTCATGATTTTAAAATATTTGAGATATATGGTATAATAAAGGAAAATAGTTTATTTGTTTATCTCTGAAACTACCAATCGGATTTGAAAAATTCATATTGCATTTTACAGCACATTTTTTAAGAAAGACATTACGTTACAACCACGGGCGAAGTCGCTGAATACAGCTTGTTTTGGATATTGTGATATATTTCTTCATTGGTATAACTCCAGTTTTCTTTAATTAATGCATTAATTGTATTTTTTAGCGTCGATTATTTAACATGATAGCTATTTGAGGCGAATATTTGTTTATACATAGAATAATTAATAGATCGTTAGTTAAAGTAGGTATAATAAACTTACTAGTATTTACATGGAGACATCATGATTTTTCTTTAAATTCATCTAAAAATAGCGTTTAAATATTCATGTATTGGTACAGGGGTGCTACTGAGGTGACGGAGCCAACTATAAACCTACGTCGTTCGTCTATGGGTCTGCGCGGGGAACAACTCTCTGTAGTGCCTGAATATGAAGATAGTGATCTGTCCGCTGATATACCTAGGGTATGTAGTGATGTATATAAAATTCATATAAAAATATATTCATATAAAATTCTAAGAATGAATATTTTTTCAATTAAGTTATATAAATAGATAGATACTCTATTGTTTCCTTACCTTATGGCGCCAACAATGGGCGACCTTATCGCTAAGAGCGATTTCTTCCAGGCAACCTTTGGATGGAGAGGAGTAATTATAAACAATTTGGTGGGAGGCACGAAGAAAAATGTTAGTTCTAAATATGGGAGATTGTGATACATATAATAATATAAATACTATCCCTACTAATATACGAGGTCTGTCCGGAAAGTTCGTATAAAAGTGTTCTGGAATGCGAGAAAGAGGAGTGGGGAGGCCAGGTAAGCGCAGGACCCCTTCCTTATGTCCCTAACAATGCTTCAGTTCTGGTCTGACCGCCGTGCGGTGCGAACTGGCTTGTCACGCCATCTGTGAAGTTACCTCTTAACGAAACCCCGTCGGCATGGAGCCCGCTTCCGTTGAAGAGCAGCGCGTCGTAATCAAGTTTCTCTCGAAACTCGGCAAGAATGGCCGTGAAATTTTTGCCGATCTCAGAACAGTTTATGGGGATGATGCTGTGAAGGAACCAACCGTCCACAAGTGGCTAAAAAGATTCAGAGAGGGCCGAGAAAGCGTTCAAGATGACCCACGTTCAGGACGTCCTTCCACTTCACATTCCGACGAAAACGTGGAAAGAATTCGAACTTGTGTTAATGGGGACCGTCGTTTAACGGTCAGACAGGTGGCTGAAGAGCTTAATTTGGGCAAAACCGTGGTCCACGAAATTCTAAGAAACGAACTTCAAATGAAAAAAATTTGCGCCAAGATCGTTCCGTGAGTTTTTGAGTAAAAATTCCATTACGGTAACCGAACACCCCCCCTATTCGCCGGATTTGGCCCCGTGTGACTTCTTCTTGTTCCCAAAAACCAAATTGGTACTTCGGGGGCGGCATTTGGGGGACATAAATGAGATAAAAAAAGCTACGACGGGGCAGCTGAGAAACCTACAACCAGAGGACTTTCAAGGAGCCTTCTCACAGTGGAAACGGCGTTGGCACAAGTGCATTATGTCACAGGGGGAGTACTTTGAAGGGGATAAAATTGATTTACCTGAATAATTGTAAAATAAAATTTTTAAAAAACTTTTATACGTACTTTCCGGACAAACCTCGTACTACTATAATTTTTTTAATTTTTTTTAAAGTCGTAATATTTACTTATAAAGTCACGAAATTAACCTACCATTAGATAATAATGTGCTTTATTTTCTTTGTGATATGAATATTAATTGATCAAAAACAGGACGAAAGAGACGACCTCGTCAACTTCAATTGGATTGAAGATGCCGATCTTCAGAAGGGTGAAGTGGATTTCTTGCTAACATCCGAGATCGAATTCTGGAAGGACTTGATTGATACTTATTTGAGGCCAATTGATGAAAATAAAGAAGAACAGGTACCTAATATTAATATATATTGTATAATTATGAATATATTGAATATCTTATATTTTTTTTCTAGACTGTATTATGTTTATATGCGTACTGTATTGTTTTTTATCATGCAAAAAAAAGTTCCAAGTTGATTCTGAATCTAGGTTTTTGTAAGAAAGCATCCTTCAGAATGCATCGTAATTTAATTTCTTAAGTGTAAATATTTTACATGGATACTTACATTGGAAGTCCCTTGTATGAGCTCTATGTATGGGAAGATATCGTCTTTAAATACCGTACATAATGCTACCGTGTTTTTATTTACAGGCTCGTATTAAAAACGACTTGAAAAACTTGCGCGACACGACTGTATTCGCGTTCATCATGTTGAACTCATTGTTCGTGCTGACTATCTTCCTGCTGCAGCTTAACCAAGATCAGTTGCACTTTAAGTGGCCTCTAGGGCAGAGTGTGTCCATTTTATACGACGACGAAATGAATGTTGTAAGTTTTTTTCTTCGGTCCGTCCAATAGAACGCGGTAATCGGTAGAGTTGGAATCGAATGTCTATATTTATGTAGGTCTATTAGAGTCGGAATTTCATTTAATGTAGATCCCAGGTTTAGATAGGAAGATCAGAAAAACTCAATTGTTTCACTTTAAAAATAACTATAAGTAATTAAAAGAACATCTTACCTAGTTAATACTCTGTGTAATCCACACACACATACTAATATAATTTATCTTAGTATAAGAACCAATTTACTTACTTGTATATTTACAGATATGGCAAACAAGCTGACGGCTCATCTGATGGAAAATGGTAACCCTCGCTTATAGACATAAGCAGTACCATGGACATAACAAAGTATACTGTTTCGCCCATGATACCCCCATGCGTTATCATTCCTGAGAACTCGGTTGTCATTCTTCTGTACCCTGCAAATTCACTGCCATATCCTAACCTTCAAACCGAAACACAACCATGCAAACAACTGCTTCCAAAGGTGCCCAAGCAAACGATTTTTGTACAAAGTCTCCCTCTGGTAAATATACTTATAACATATATGTCATAACAAATAATATAACCGTAGGTAACCATCAACCAAGACTACTTGATGCTGGAACCGATCGGGTCTTTGTTCTTGATATTCTTCGGGACGGTGATGTTGATCCAATTTACCGCTATGATGTTCCACCGGCTCGGCACTCTTGCTCACTTGCTGTCCACTGTTCAACTCAATTGGTACTTCGTGAAAAGAGTAAGTGTTTTTAATACCCATATTATTTTGTTACTTTATGGTAATTTTATATTCATTCTTAACGTACCTACTTAAATCGTTGTCTATGATTTTCTGATATGTTCTTTATCTATTTTATTCTGTTCCAAAAAATAGAATAAATTAAAAAAAAAACTACATATTTATTTATTATATACATTGTTTGTAATTTATATTCTTATTTATTATTTTCAACGTTGCTCTTAAACATACTCGTATAATTTTAATAATTTCGTTTTCTATTAGCATAAATAGCTAATAGAAAAGACATAGAATTGGATCCGCTATAGTGACCCATTCTATGTGGGAACCAAGCGTCAAATTACAATGTATTTTAATACTGGTTTTCTAAGATTTATTGTCTAAAAATAATGTTATTTATTTATATATAGTTAGCTGGCTGGGATTTTTCATATTGTGAATATAATTCATTAGTCAATAATTGATATAATTTCTATAGGCCGATGAGCTTACTCACCATGCTAAAATTGAAAAAGACGCTATAAGCATGGCTAAGAGTTTGGCGAGAGCTGATGTTGCTGGCACGGACGCTGCAGCCATCGACGAAGGCGACGTCTCGCGAAGGAGGACAATACAACAATTGGAAAATAGCAGGGTTTCTAAAAATGATGCATTTAATCTGGACACCAATTTCAAGAGAAGGCTCACAATGTTGGAAAATGCCGATCCCGGTAAGATAACTATTGATGTTCATAAAAAAACATACCACTAATACACTTGTTAATGTAAGGAATTTTATTAATTTATATTCTCGACAAAAGTGGCGAGTGTATCTGTTTGATTAATATGTTTACGCTACGAGTGAGCATAGAATAGAACAATAAAGCGCTTATGCGAACAATACGCGAAATGGAGTTTTTGACCACTGACACTTGCTTGTAGAATCTTACAATGTTACGATCATGCACTATGATGGCATGTCTATGAACGTACCTACTCTAGTGTAAATCTGAATTGTGTATATAGTGTTTTTCCGTTGGTTCACCCACACGTAACCAATTATCCCAATTTCGTGAGAAAGTTCCTTATTAGTTCTCAATTACGTTATGTAAAGAACCTCTGTGTAAAATTTTATATTATAAACCACGCAGTTTCAGATATCCGTTCTTGTTTTTTATTGCCTAATACTACGAGTATACTATGTGTATACCACATTTAATCACGATTGGTAGAACTGTTAAAGTGCCATAAGATATCAAATTTACCTAATCTTTTACAATATTAGTAAAGATATTGATTTTATAGTTAGTTGAAAGTTTTTTACACATATATTTACCTTCAATATTAATGCCCGTATTTAATCGCAGCAACAATATCGTTCCTGCCTTGGTTAAGCAGCGATTTGATAGAGCGCCGAGCCACATTACGTGCTCTCAAGGCGAGGAGAGAGTCGGTAGCGATGGAGAGACGCCGCTCCCAAATGCAGACAGGAAGGCCTTCCGCTTACCATTATGGAATCCCTGGAACTTCGGTGTGTATTAAATGACTTAAATTATTATTGTTTAGTATATTAAAACAACAAAAGTCAAACCGAGATTAAAACACATGGAGTAACGGAAACTCTTCTTAGCTGTATAGTATGACAATGGATAGGTATCTAAATATAGCTGACACATTGTGATCTGTGTATTTATATAATATTATAAAGGAAAAAGGCGTGAGATAATAATTTTCTACTATAAAAACCCTCCTTTGTTATAAACGAATACACTAGGGATCCCACACTGTAGGGATTGGGAAATGGGATTTTAAGGAACGGGACTAACGGCCCCATTATATATATTTGTTATTTTTATTGCACTCAGAAATACAGTAATAGTTAACTTATTTCTAAAAGAGAATTCTATATCGCTAGTATATAATATCTATTAGATCGACTTCGATGCGACCTCCGTTGAACACCAACGTGATTAATTCCTGGTGTATTTATCAAGATGGGCTAACTGACTTTATCTTAACTTATCATTCTACACTGGCATCCCTCCAGCATAAATCAATAGAGCAAGCAAGGTTACAATTCTATTTGAAAATATATATGCCCATATGGACCATATACGTTACAGAGCCTTATCATTAACACTATTAATAGAAACGAATCTTTATTATTGAAAATATATATTTATTTGAGAACAGGATTACCACAACAATCTTAACGACATTTTTCTATTTCAACAGACCACAGAGTAACTAAGCACTACAGACGTTTCTTTGACAGATACATATTTACATTTTAGACATTGACAACTTCTTAGATTAAGATTAAATTACATTTTCATTTATTAAAAACTATGTGCAGGGTATGTCCGGCCGTCCATCTGGTGTGTACGTGAACCAAGGCTACCAGCCCGCTCCGCTACAGGACAGCGATTCCGACGACTCAGATTTATCAGTCAACGGGGCTCCCATAGGCGTTCCAGCAAACAACGCCGCCAGACCCAGTGTAGTTCGCTTTAATCTTACATGATAATTATATTACATAGTCATTATAACAATATTTTTCTTATATTAATAAAGCTTATTTTATTTATTAGTCATTGGGTTTGTTGGTTATCTCCTATGCCTGTGGTAATTTACAAAAATCCTTTTTTAATATTTATCTATATTATAACGAACTCTGTACAAAATATTATGTTTCAAAGATTATCAATATAGGCTGTATTTTTTCAGTTATTCAGTCGATATTCGAGAGAGATAGATGATACAGTAATTTAAGTTAGACTATAGTAATTACCTTTTAAAACCTTATTTCCCATTGTGATTATGTTTAAACATGAATGAATAATATTGCATTGCTGTTTAATCAATGTAAAATTAAATTATAAATATATTAACCTATGTATACGTATATAGACGCATAAAGGTGAATTTAATTATACAAACATCTAGGTATGTGGTTAGTCTAGTATAATTAATGTACCTACTATAAGTCAGATGTCATGCCTACCAGGAAATTCCGAAAGAAACTACATTTAAAAATGCTGGTTCTATCTTTAAGTTTACTCTTAGTTCTTCGTACAATCATGACGAATATTATAAAAAAATATGTAATGAAATTATTAGAAAACGTGTGAGGATTGCCTGTACGTATATCTTTTTTTTATTACTCATAGATATTAGACACATTAGGAAAGACTGCTGACATGCTGATGTTTCAACTTATGGAAACTGTCTGGTAACTATCAGAAAATTTCTACTAGTTGATAACCGTCAGTAATTTTAAGACTAGGAATTTTTATTATTATTACTATTACAAGATAGGTTTACGCTTGATTTTACGTGTGACGTGTGATAGGTGATGATAACATCTTGGATGAAGCGCTGTTTTATACGCACTGTTTGATATATGTTGTTTTTCTCATTACACTTTTTAGGGGCATCGAACTTTTAAGCGTGTGGTCCTTTGCGTTGGAGGTGGCGTCGGTTATCCTTGCAAAACGTATGTATTGTTAATCATGAATTTAAAGAAATTATATCGTCTGCAAGAGATTTAATCAGTAATAATTAATGATGATGATGATCATCATCATATCAGCTTTTAACTGTCCACTGCTGAACATAAGTCTCTCCCTTGGGAGGAGGGGGGTGGGGTTTGCCAGTAGTTGTTACGCTCGGCAGGCGGATTGGCAATTACAGTCAGGTTTTAGAGATGTTTTAAAAGGGACGCTGCTGCTCATTCCCTGCCCTCCCTTAATCGACTTTTACGTCCCCCACGGGAAAGGAAGAGGTGACCTATTGTATTGCCGGGACCACACGGCCAATTCGATGGAAATCAAAAATAACAACAAAAACCTTTTGTCTAATAGGCATTAGAACGTGAGTTGATAGAGCTGACAATATTGTTGTAACGGATTAGTAGACAAGTAACATTCCATGAGCGGATTAACGAATAGCGCATAATATACCAATGGGATTTTAATATAAGTTTTCGCAAACTCACGTGGCTTAAGCTCGTAAGTTTGTTGGTGCTTTTATAATTTGATACGTCATTAATAATCACTCAATGATTTAAAAAGAAAGCAAGTGAGCAATTGCATGAAGATACTTTTAATTTTCCGATATTGTTGATGGCATTAACCTTAACAAAAATCATAATTTAAAATTATGCATCAGTGCCTACATATTTTTATATTTTGAGGACAAAGTCGTGCCATGCCGCGATATAGCAAATTTTCAAAGCGCTTTGTGTCGTACCTCTGCAATTTGCACTTTTCCAAGAGAATGTTACTTTGTCTACCTACAGAGCTAGTACAGTCACGCTCAGTGGACGTACAGCTCGCAGCGTACAATCGTACAGTGTCTGTGTGTAGTTGTGACCTGAACTGTACTGTCTGACAGTGAGTGCGCGGCGACCGCCTCGACCGCACGAGCGCGCACCATGCGCAGCGACACAGCCCCGCGGGTGCACCATACGGATACATATTACAATACTGTGAAGTGATAAACACTGCCAGGATTTACTCGACTCTACCACCACAGCTGCTGTAAGGTGAGATGCTCAAGTTCCGTGTCATAATTTCCCATTCTATGACCTTTAACTTTCGAGGTTGTACGCGATCAGCTGCGAAAGTATGCGAGGGTGCTGCAATAGATATCCTATTATATAATTTGAATTTAATACTCTTACACTAAGTGTCATGATCATTATATACAAAATAATCTAGGTTTAAAGATGTAAAAAATTAGAAAGAGTCAAATGACACGATTTCTCTTTGGAAAGTTTTAAAGTTGCATACATTTAAGTAAAACTCATTCTATTTTGTATTTATGTCTAAACGCTGCAGGTACTTATAGTAAAATGAGTAGAAAATGTGACTCTAAAATAGTTGTGATCAAATCCCAATTCTCACGACTTCCTAATTTGTTCCGAGTATATTCGTGTTTGCAATCATAAACAAAAGTGAATGTAGGCGGCATTGGTATGGGAGAAGTGAGAATAAGAAACAAAGAGTCGCCAATTTTGTACTTTATAATTTCCCTATGATTTTTATAACAATAAATTGTTACCGAGTAACAATTAGATATATATACAACAGTTTATCATTATCTTAATTAATTCGATGCTGTAATGAGAGAAACAATAAAATATAGAAGGTACCTACGCGTAAGATAATACTTACGAGATAGTAAAAATAAGTTAGTAACAAAAATAATATACAAATATAGTTCCATTCATAGAGTTAAGAATTCAGCAGCATTGAGAAGGCAAGAAATTAACGCAACATGTCCGCCCTAAGGCCTCGTATGCATCCGGTTCCGGTAGAGGGTCGTTCTCACTTCCCACAAATCGAATTCACACTTGAATCGGTGGTCACAGAATGCCTTGGTTGTTTCCGCACTTGCAATCGGCCGCGAGTTACCAAATTAATAACAATATCGTTGCGCAGTCGCCGGCCCGTTTCACGTGCAATTCTACACAAAGCCTAATTACATACAAGGAATGTTACTTACCTGTTTATGTGTTAAGATTTATTATATTATTTAACCCTAAAATGCAGCGAGCTATGGGACATTTATTGTTTAAATACCATACGAGTATTAATATTATGCGAGAAAAATATGTAATATATACTTTTTGTATGATTTACAATTTATATTATGAACAAGCACTTAGGTATTCAAAGAAATTGTTTAAATCCTTTTCCAATTTTGGCAGATTTTCAAAATATAATACATGAAGATATTCCTATCACTAGAATTTTAAACAATTTCATACCTCATATTTAAATTGACTTTTTATTGTGTTGCACAAACCAGTAAAACGTCTTAAACTACAGCTTGCTTTTACATTAAAATTATGCAAATAAAATTTAATTTTGTAAAAATGAATATTTTTATTCTCAATGTGAAACTTGATACAATAATAATAAGACTGTATTTCGATCGGTAAAATAGTTTGAAGGTCAATATTCTTATATGTACATTTTAAGGAGAGACAGGTTTCGTAATGGAACTATTAACTAATCTTAGTCATCGTGTTATGGAATCTAAATACGTCACCTAATATTTAAAACTACAACATTATCACGTCATTACATATTAGTGTCCCACTGTTGGGCATGGGTTTCAATAGGAAAAGGATATTCCTAATCGCTATTACTATACTGGATATACGAATAAGGTAGAGATTTAGGGTTTTAATTTCTTACTAGCTTTTACTCGTGACTTCATTCACGTGACCGGAATATGTTTATTGACCGTGATCAAAAATAGCCTAAATCTGTTTCCATTCCATATAGAAGGTGTATACTAAATATCATACTGATTGGTTAAGCCGGTAAGGCGCTATAATGAAACAAACTAACAAAATTATTTTCAAATTTATCACAAATCGTATTAGAATTTTAGGATGCAATATTGAGGTAATTTAGTAATAAAAAATATTAATATCTCTTATGATAATAATCTGTTTGTATAATATGCTTTTTATTTATTTTATATAAAATAGATTCGACCTTTTTCAGAAAACAGGTTAAGGACATCTGATACGTATTTTTATAACTATATTTTTAATGAGTAATCAACAGCAAACTGGCATGTTAAATAACATCTTAGTTAAATGATTTTTATAACTCATTTACAGACAATGCTCACAAATGGAAGGCATAATATTTTAAAAAGTTTACAATATTGGACATAATAATAAAAGCCATAAAATGAGCTTAACTTATGAGAGTTGTTTTAAATATAACAATTAAACAATAGTGTTTTTTTTTTATTTATTGGATTTAGATGAAAAGATAAATAAGCTACATCACAGGATTGTATAAATATATAAATAAACATAGAACTTTATACTTTAAGACAAACGGTAAAGGAATACTATAAATTTGTTTGCCTTTAGAAAGTTTACACTACGCGTTCCCGTATTTCTTTGTAAAATTACATATTTATAAAGGTAGTTTTAATCTATCTTTATAAGTATAAATTTATACATATCAAGTCCACTATCACGTTCTTAGGCGGCCTTGAAAATGTGACCGGAAGAAAGTGTTATGCGATTAACATTTTATCTGCATTGTGCATTGCTTTATTAGAAGTGTACAAAGCGGTTGCGATGGTGTGGTTTTAAAAAATCCAAGCATACATAAGAAGCTTCGAATTATATACATTTATTATTACAATGGCTCGTACGAAACCGTGAGTTTGAATCGATTTGACAATAAAATACTAGAAAGAACATATATATATATATATATATATATATATATATATATATATATATATATATATATATATATATATATATATATATATATATATATATATATATATATATATATATATATATATATATATAGAGAGAGAGAGAGAGAGAGAGAGAGAGAGAAGGATAAGTAAGTTGAAGTGACTATGGGCTGGTCAAATGGCTATAAGAATTGACAGCCGATGGGAAAGAAAGGTTCTTGAATGGTGACCCCGTACGAGCAAACGTAGTGTAGAATGACCCCCCCTCCCCACTAGATGGATTGACGACCTCAAATGCATTACAGGGAGTCAGTAGATGCAGGTGGCTCAGGTCGTTCTTTGTGAGCGTTTATGAGGAAAGCTTATGTTTAGCAGTGGACAGATAATAGCTGAAATGATGATGATGATATATCTATGTATATATCTTTTATAGGGACTGGTGATTGTTTTTAAGAAAAATAAACATGCCACTTTTTTATTTAGAATGGTACATACCATATGTTGAAAAACAGAAAGGTCACCGTTCTTTAAACAGCACCGCTCTAATACAGTAATAGTGCACGCTCATAGTGTGATGGTATCGGTAATTGTATTGTCGCAAGTCGTTTGATAATCTGTTTTGTTATTATTCGCAAAAAAATGTAAAATTTTTTTAAATTTTTGGGTGACAGGCTGTATTTCAGTGAAAAATAACACAATTTAAAAAAACATATAAAACGTTTTCAAGAAAAAATTTTTTTGTTTTCCATGCAATTCTTCTGAAAGTTTCGTTTTTATATTTGAAAAATTTTTTAACTCCATTGTAAGGTCTCTTCTGTTTAATAGTAAATATCTTTAACAAATCAATTAGAAAGACACCTGTAAGCTCGATTCTATTATATTTCGATGATGTTGCCATTAGAGAAAATAATAAATTGGTTATTATTTAAAAACATACATATGGCCTACAAAAGACATCAACGCACATTAGTTCCGTAGTGCGTTCTAGTTCATTGAAGACTAGCTAAAAAAAGTCAATGTTAAGGTCATTTATCTGTTACTACTACTGCTATGACTTCATTCGTTATTAAGTGTATTTTAAATACATTGATTTGTTATTTGTTCATAACGAAGAATTCCATTTTCATAAATCTAAATTCAATCAAAAAAAAAACGAAAAAAACCCATACATACATCTGCTATAAATATTACTAAATTTAAAGTATGATATATGAGATCGTATTTCATATAAAAGAGCTGTTTTATCTAAATAGGTAAAGTAAATTAAGTATTAATTAATTACAGTATTAAATATTGGTTATATTCAACCTATATTAGCTGAACTCAAATCAGAATTTTTTAACATGTCTGTAAGAGAAAGTATAGTTAGATAAAACTTTATATGAGAAATCAGTTCAGGGTATGATATTGCTGATATACCTGAAGAAGATAAAAGCCCTTAAAATTAGAAAAAAGAAAAGAATTTCAATTTTTTACACATACGTACATGATTCATTGTAAACCTTAAAGGCTCAGAGGTCGGAAAGTAAATATACAGTATATTGTATAATTAATAAAATTTATTACGCTAAGTCGTGTGGTCACAAGATATAAAATAGGCCATTTTCCTTCCTCTGGGTGTCATTCGTTAAAGTGTATTTTAAATAATTGAATTGTTATTTGTTCATAATGAAGAAGTCCATTTTCATAAATCTAAATCCAATACACCCATACATATATCTGCTATAAATATCTACTAAATTTAAAGTATGGTCTGAGATCTCTCTGTTTTATAAGAAAGTAAATTAATATTTAACAGTGACAGTTAACGACTGATATGATGATGATTCAATTACATTTACACCAGAGGGAGACTTTATATAAAGGTCGATTGCTTGGGTACCTCTGTCCCGTTCGTGTTTCTACCGTGAAGCAGTTATGTTTGCATGGCTGTGTTTAGGTTTGAAGGGTGAGATATGGCATGAAATTACTGGGTACAGAGGAATAACACCTGAGTCCTCAGGAATAGCAACCTCGCGGGGTTGTATCATGGGCGAAAAGTAACTCTCTCTTTCTCTCTCTCTCTCTGTCTATAGGCGACGGTTACCACCTTCCCATCAGGTGGGCCGTGGTGTGTTATGAAAAACCTATTTTAAAGTTGTATGAAAAAAACGTTAAAATACATCTATAACTTCATAAATTAATAGATAAATTTAAATATCCCATCAATCTAAATATATTAATCCGTAATCACGGAATATTTGCCCTACCACGCAACAGGACATTTCATGCTGATCAGGCGCCACTCACGAAGGCGTTGCG